TCTATCTTTCCATTATAGATCTTAACATCTAAGATAGGGTTTGGCAGCTTATTCTCAACACGTTTGTTGTATCTTGTTGAATGAATATTTGTCATTGTAGCAGTGAGGAGGCAATACCAGGTTTATTTCTGTGTAACCTGTAGAGGATTGCTTTGGGAAATTGTATTTCAGAGAATTTACTAAATCCTCCAGCAGGCTTTAAGAGGACATTGGTTTCATTATTTAAGGTTTTAGTATCTAAGGACAAACACACAGAAGGTATGTTATCCCTTGGAATCTTACGGATGTGAGTTAGGTTCTTATGCCAGTGCTCAAAAGGAAGAGATGTTACCATACTTGCAAGTACCTTTGATGGTGTAAGGAGCATTAATGACAGTTGTGTTATGCTCGATGAATATCACTTAACACACAGTAGTTATATGCATCTTTTTGTTATTTTCTCCCATTTTTATTTGCATAAACCACAAGGCAGGTAAGAAGTCAGATGAACCCACACCCATCAACTACTTTTTGTTTACCTATAGTCTTTGTTATTATTCTTGCATATTTTAGATAATGTGTTACACCATTGAGGATAGATTTTTAAATTATTTTAATCATTCGCATTTTTTCATCTTCTGGTCTTGAAACTAATTTTTTTTCCTTTTCAAGTCATTGCTCTTAAAAACATTTGCAATTTTTGGGCGCCTGGGTGGCTCAGATGGTTGAGCGTCTGCCTTCGGCTCAGGTCATGATCCCGGGGTCCTGGGATCGAGTCCCACATCGGGCTCCCTCCTCCTTGGGAGCCTGCTTCTCCCTCTGCTTCTCCCTCTCTCTCTCTCCCTCTCTCTCTCTCCTCCTCTGTCTCTCATGAATAAAAAAAAAAAAAAAAACTAAAAAAAAAAAGAAACTATCCCAAAATTTTAAAAAAAAAAAAAAACATTTGCAATTTTTTTCTTTTCTGTTACAAGACCAAAGTGCATTTACTGTTTAGATATTGCAGTATGTATAACAGAGAGAGTCAAGTTGCTTACAATCAGGTGTATAGCTGCTGCAGCTAATTTCTAATATGGTTTTGTAGACTTTCATACTTGGCATATATATTGTATTTTTCAGTACTTAACATATATTATTTAAAAATCATACATACTTTTTAACATTGTCTTGAGCATCTTTCTGTACAAATCTCTGCTTGTTTTTATAAAGATCTCAAACTAAACATGTTTAAGACAGAACTCTTGCCTCGCCTTCTGCCCCATCGTCCCTAAATCTAGACTTCCTCACTTACTTCATGTCTTGCTTTTCAAGCTCAAGACCAAAATTGTCCTTGTTTCCTCTTTCCTGGCCTCCTCTACCTAGTCTCTATTTTTCAACCACAGCTACATCATGTTGTGCCTAGGCTTCTGTAGTCTATGATGTTTCCATGTTCCACCTTTGGGCCCCCTACAGTCCCTTCTCTACATTGTAGCCAGGTTGTTTTTAAAAACCAAAGTCATGTCTCTGCTCAAAATGAATGCTCAGAATCGCATTGCTTTAAAGATAAAATTTAAAATTCTAATAGGCCTTCTCATCCAACCTTTTCTTTCCCTTTCAACTCTCCCTTTCTTACTAACTTCGACTTCACTAGCTTTTATGTTTTTGAACATGATAAGCATGTCAGGACTTTAGGGCCTTTGCATTTGCTTTTTCGTCAGCCTTGCTTCAAGTCAGCCTTGAAGCTGACTCCTTCCCCCAATAGATCCAAATCAGAAGCCTTTCCCTTAGAGAGGCCTTTAGTGATCAACTAATCTAAAATTATTACACTTTTTTTCCTCATATTGTCCTGTTTAGTTTCATTCATAGCATATGTCACCATCTGAAATAATCCTATTTACCTATATTTTGAATCTCCACATTAGAAAGTAAGACCCCTGAGAGCAGATTCTACTGTGCTGTCAAAGAATTCTTTATTTAACCCAAGGTTGCAAAGATTTTCTCCTTTTCTCTAGTTTTTACATTTTGTCTATGCTCCTTCTTAAAACAAAATTGAGATATGACTAACATATAGCATTGTGTAAGTTTGAGGTATACATGTTGATTTCATGCACTTACATATTGCAGAATAATTACTGCTGTAACATTAGCCGATACTCCCATCACATCAGTTATTTTTTGTGTGTAGTGAGAACATTTAAGATCTTGTCTCATCATCTTTGATGTATACAAGAGAGTATTTTGACTCTAATCATAATGCTGTGCATTAGATCTCCAGAACATACACGTCTTCTAATTTCAAGTTTGTACCCTTTGCTATAGTCCATTTTGAGTTGTTTTGTATATGGTAGAAGTTATGAATCAGAATTCATTTTTTTATGTTATATATGCCTAATTGCTTCAGCACCATTTGTTAAGAAAACTGTCCCTTATTCACTGAATTTTCTTTGCATTTGTAAAAATCAGATGCCTGTATATATTTGTATTTCTATACTCTATTATGTTTCATTGATCAGTCTTTTTTTAGGCCAATACCACACGGTGTTCATGGCTGCTTAACAGATCATGAAATCAGGTGACCTTGGTCCTCCAGCTTTATTCTTTTTAATTTAATTTTTTAAGATTTTGTTTATTTGACAGAGAAAGACAGAGATAGCAACAGAAATAGTGAGAGAGAGCAGGGCGCCTGGGTGGCTCAGTTGGTTAAGCGACTGCCTTCGGCTCAGGTCATAATCCTGGAGTCCCGGGATCGAGTCCCACATCGGGCTCCCTGCTCAGCGGGGAGTCTGCTTCTCCCTCTGACCTTCTTCCCTCTCGTGCTCTCTATCTCTCATTCTCTCTCTCTCAAATAAATAAATAAAATCTTTAAAGAAAAAATAGTGAGAGAGAGCAGGGGGCGGGGAGAAGAGAGAGAAGCAGGCTCCCTCCTGAGCAGGGAGTCCAACTCCGGGCTCGATCCCTGATCCCAAGACCCTGGGATCATGACCTGAGCCAAAGGCAGACAGTTAACCAACTGAGCCACCCGGATACCCCGAACTTTATTATTTTTAAAGTTCTTTTGGTTATTCTAGGTCCTGTCTATTTTTTAATAAATTTTAGAACCAGTTTGAAAATTCTACCACCCTCTCCCCCAGAAATTCCTTCTGTGATTTTGTTTGGAATTGATTTGAATCTATAGATCAATTTGGCAAGGAATCACAATCTTACATATTGGGTCTTTTGACCCACGCACAGGGCATAGCATCATGTATCTAGGTCTTTAATGTTCTATGGTTTTTAATATACTAATCTTGCACATTTTTTGTCGGATGTACTCCTAAGGATTTCATACTTTTAATTGCTAGTATAAGTTGTACTTTAAACTAAAAGTGCTCACACTAACTGGCAAAACCATTATAGTGGAATTGGTTTTTCTGATTTCTGTAGTCTTACTGCTTATGGCTACAAACTTTTTTTTTTTAAGATTTTATTTATTTATTTGACAGAGAGAGACACAGCGAGAGAGGGAACACAGGCAGGGGGAGTAGAAGAGGGAGAAGCAGGCTTCTTGCAGAGCAGGGAGCCCAATGCAGGGCTCCATCCCAGGACCCTGGGATCACGACCTGAGCCGAAGGCAGACGCTTAAGGACTGAGCCACCCAGGCGCCCCACAAATTCTTTGTTTTTAAAAATGCATATTATTTTTTTTTAAAGATTTTATTTATTTATTTGACAGAGACATAGCGAGAGCAGAAACACAAGCAGAGGGAGTGGGAGAGGGAGAAGCAGGCTTCCTGCAGAGCAGGGAGCCTGATGTGGGACTCGATCCCAGGATCCCGGGATCATGACCTGAGCCGAAGGCAGACGCTTAATGACTGAGCCACCCAGGCGCCCTAAAAATGCATATTCTTTTATAGCAGTTCGGTTAGGTACATTAAGGGATAGTTTGTCCTTGTCTTTTTTTTTTTAAGATTTTATTTATTTATTTGACAGAGAGAGAGCACAAGTAGGCAGAGAGGCAGGCAGAGGGAGAAGGAGAAGCAGGCTCTCCACTGAGCATTGAGCCCCACCGTGGGGCTCGATCCCAGGACCCTGGGATCCTGACCCGAGCCGAAGGTAGCCGTTCAACCAGCTGAGCCACCCAGGCACCCCTGTCCTTGTCTTTTGATGGAATTATCATTTGACTCATTTATATTACAGTTATGTGTACTTGATTTATATTTTTTCCTGGTATAGTAGTACTGTAAAACATAAAAACAAGAGTGACTTATAAGCATATGAAAGCATATACTGCCTGAAAACAGAAGCATATAATTAATGGAGGAATGATGTTAATCCTCCTATCATATTTGCATTCCATATGCAGAAACTGATTGATGCCTGTTATCTCAAGCCTGTTAAATTGAATAGTATTTGTTAAATAGACAGTCTCCATAGATTTACTGTATTTGACCTATTCGTTTCAGTATGGGTTAAAATTCCTTTTTTTTTTTTTTAAGTAGACTCCACAGGCAGTGTGGGGCTTGAACACACAATTTTGAGCAGATCAAGGGTAGCATGCTCTACTGACTGAGCCAGCCAGGCGCCTCTGGATTAAAATTCTTATTCTCTGTGATAACAGTTAAGCAGTTACAAACCATAAGTAACTAATATGTTCACTGAACGCAGGGCAATTTAGTTTGATTGATTTTGTTGTGTGTTCGTTCTTCAAATTTGACAGTATTAAACAAGTATGACATTATTATTGATACGAGTTACCGAAGATGGATTTCATCACTTTTTATTTTTCAGAATTTTGGGGGACATTTGAATTTACTGAGAGTTTTTTTTTTTTTTTTTAAGATTTTATTTATTTGAGAGAGCGAGCACGAGCAGGGGGGGACAGGGAGAGGGAGAGGCAGACTCTCTACTGAGCAAGGGATCCTGACATGGAACTCAGTCCCAGGACCCTGGTATCATGACCTGAGTCAAAGGCAGACACTCAACCAATGGAGCCACCCAGGCGCCCCTACTGAGAGTTTCTTTATGCTAAAATTTTCCTCATTTGTCTTTCTTATGTGTGTCTTAAAGGTTTGAAGGGGTGTGACAGGAGGGTTTGGACTCGATGAGTTTCCACCGAAATGTCGGAGAAGTCAGGCCAGAGCACAAAAGCAAAGGATGGGAAAAAGTATGCAACACTCAGTTTATTTAATACTTACAAGGGTAAATCTTTAGAAACTCAGAAAACCACAGGTGAGTAAAATCAAGTGGCATATTTTTATGATTTTCATGGTTTTGTTTTATTGCTATGATTGGTACTCTGGAGCTATTGCTATTAGGAGCTAGGATAAACCCATATTTATGCAACCCTATGTACATTGAGCCTTTTATGTGTGTACTCATTTTTCAGGGGATGAATTAAATGTCTTACAGTAGAAAGTTTATAATTTTTTTAAAAGGATTTTATTAGAGAGAGAGCTAGCAGGAGCATGAGCCGGGAGGGGCACAGAGGAGAGGGAGAAGCAGGCTCCCTGCTGAGCGCAGAGCCTGTGGGGCTCCATCTGGAGACTCCAGGATCGTGACCTGAGATGAAGGCATAGAGGCAGATGCTTAACCAACTGAGCCACCATTTTCAGGGGCCCTAAAAATTGATAAATGTTTTAAAATATGTCTCTTTTTTCCTGTTTGTTGTCAGCAGAAAGTAGAACTATGTGGCTCCAAACGGAGACTTGGTCAATGAGATTGGTAGGCATAGGAATATACAGTAGTGGGTACTTACTCCTGCTTCTAGTTATGGAAGAGAGTCCTGGGATGTTTTGTTTTTTTTTTGATACCTTGGGCCCACTATTTATAGTGAAAGGTGAAACCTGGACCATGTATGGTATATTAGCAGTGTTCATTATGAATGTAAAGTTCACGTATTTATTCTCTAATATACTAAATTTTGAGTTTAAAATAGATTTCTTTAAAGATTACAAAACCACTTAATCGCCTGTGTTTTCCTTTTCATAGTATATAGGATTGTTAGAATGTTTAAGTCATCTTTTCAGTGGCTTGATAGGTTAATATAATTTCTATATTGGATTATTGTTGCAGGTGTGTGGCTTAGTTTTAAAATTCTTATTTTAAGATAAAAGGAAATAATAGTTCAAGATTCCATTGACACCTGTTGTCTTTCTATATTGTTTTAAGAATAAATTGAGCAATAAAATAGATGTTCAAAGAAAGTTGATGTTATTGATCTTTAGTTGCAGCTCGACATGGATTACAGAGTCTTGGAAAAGTTGGTATTTCACGGCGTATGCCTCCACCTGCTAACCTCCCAAGTCTCAAAGCAGAAAACAAAGGCAATGACCCTAATGTGAACATTGTACCTAAAGATGGCACTGGATGGGCATCCAAACAAGAGCAGCATGAAGAAGAAAAGTGAGTCAAAGTCAACTAAAAAATGAAACTATTTCTTTGTAGGGAACTTTTTTTTTTTAAGATTTTATTTTTAAGTAATCTCCACACCCAGTGTGGGGCTCAAACCCACAACCTCGAGATCAAGAGTTGCATGCTGCAGTGACTGAGCCAGCCAGGCACCCTGTAGGGAACTTCTGTTTGCGTTTGTTCTCTGTGCTAGACGTTGAACTATGTATGTTAGGTATCTCAGGCCATTTGAAGTCATTTACATAGTCACCTTTTGATGAATTTTTTTTGTGTGTGAGTAGGTTTAGTGGCAGTATTTCCATGTGTCAAGGTAGAACAGATGACGGAATTGCTAATCACAGCTTTTCTTATGTACTGTGTCAGACTCCCTCGAACCCCCACCATATCAGGCATTCACTTTCTAATATAATTAAGAGTTGATTCTATTAAATAATTTCCATGATGCTAAGAATTTCTGTCTGCCTGGTTCACTGAAACTATACCTGATGCACATTTTAAGTGCTCAAGTAATACTATTTAAATGAATAAAGAATTAGCAAGCAGGCTACGATAGAATTAATAATGTCCCTTTTAATCATTCAGCATATATTTAGCATTCTGTATTTCAGGGATTATGCAAAGCTCTTAATTTCTTGAATGACCAAGTGAAGTAGTGGTAATTTAGAAAAATAATACAAGTAATTAGGTACTTGATGCTTTTTGCCTGTATCTGTTATCAAATTTCTGTACTCCTATTTGGGGAGCTTTATATAGTAAATTTGACTTTACTTGGATAAAACTTGTCAAAGACATTGTTCTCTGTTTCTTAGTTGTTGTAGATTTATTTTGTAGTAGCAAGCCAGTTACAAGGTCTGAGTGTACCAGAAATATATTGCCTCTCTTAAGTCTCTTAACTACTACCTTTTTCATTTTCAAGCATTAACTCATTACAAAGATTGACTAAAACTGTAGATTCTTTTAAAACACCTTTTACTCGGGCACCTGGGTGGCTCAGTCATTTAAGTGTCCAACTCTTGACTTTGGCTCAAATCATGATCTCAGGGTTCTGAGATCGAGCCCTGCATCAGGCTCTGCACTAGGCATGGAGCCTGCTTAAGATTCTCTCTCTGCCCCTCCCCCCCAACCCCACCCCTCCAAAAACAAAACAAAACAAAACACCTTTTACTCTTGGGGAGGTATCAGGCAAGTTGCTGTTACCTCTTTGAATAACAGTAATAAGTACAGTGGTGAACCTGTTGACTGTCAGATGGAGAGTTTCCTTAGCTTTAGCCCTGGCTAAGTCCACCAGTCCAGACAGTATGTATACCTACAATGTTATTTCTAATTATATATAAATGTTTACTTCTTTAAAATAGATTTTGGTAGCTATACTCAATAATGAGTGTTTCTTTTTTTCTTTTTTACAAAATGAAAAACAAGTAAAGCTATCTTCTCCTTGGGTTATTAAAAGGAAGAAATGAAAGGGGATGAAAAGAGCTATACTTTATTTAAAGGAATGTTGCAGAGGAAAAGCGTTTGAGAGATGCATCTATGAGTAAATATGTAGCCAAAACAGTTATACACAAATTTACCTTAACTACGATATTCATTTTTATTTTATTTGAACATACAATATGTGAAATAATGGATTCATATTTTTTTTAAGAACACCAGAAGTTCCACCAGCACAGCCAAAACCTGGGGTTGCAGCTCCCCCAGAAGTAGCACCTGCTCCCAAATCTTGGGCCAGTAACAAGCAAGGTGGGCAAGGAGATGGTAAGTGGACATAAGCTGGGGAAACTTGCTAGGTTTGATAGTTACTGAACAGCCATGCAGGAGATAAGGGGTGGATTTTGACAGGGGCAGAAAACGTTGTCAAGGATATACTCAGGTCCTAAAAAACGGTCTTTCTTTCAACTGTTGGGGTAGTTAAGTTTCAGTGCCAAGATCCATGTATGAGCCAATGATAGGGATTTAAAAAGGAGTCTTTAAGATACTCTCCCACATTGTTTTTATCTTCACCCTACATGACCAGAAAAAACTTTGTACCTTCTGCTCTTTGGGGCATAAAAGTACCCAGATACTGTATAAATGGCTAGAAGCTATATTTATCACCATCTGTGCTCCCTAACCTCTTCTATTTCAAACATGTGCTACTCAGGATTTCCATGGTAGAGAAGAGCTAGACAGTAGCTATAAAGCATGGTAGCTGTAATACTACCCACCTAAGGAATGATGGACTCCCTAGCAGAATTTAAATTTTCCACTTGCAAAACAGGTCTATAAAACATTGTATAGAAAATCTACGCCCTATCTATGCCCTCAAGTTAATAAAATCAGATCTTTTAATTTAATAGAAGGATATAAATAATAGGCAAGTAGGTAGGTAGATGGGTGAATGGGTGACTAATGAGGTGCAGTCAGTATCTCAGTGATAAATTTAGTGAAGGCATTTTAGCCTCATTGTGATACTTGCAGTGTTGATTCATATATTGTTTCAGTAATACTGTTTGGTTCTTAGAGTTATTAGCAAAAGAGTTTGACTTTTTGAAAAATGTAAGGAGTTATTGTAAAAGAAAAACAGGAGTGAAATTCTCATTTTCCTTATCTTTAATGAGTCCTGAACAATGTCTGGCAGATTCCTTTCTTAGATTTTTATCTCCTCATGGCTGTTCATTAACTTTCCAAGGGATTCTAATTCTAAATAAATGTTAAAGTTTTATGGATACAAACAGTGGAATAATTATATATATAGAATTATATATATATATGGAATAATTTATCAGAAAAGCAGAGTCCTCTATCGTGGGAGGGTTTTTTCATTATCTTCAGTATAAAAATTACATTTAATGTTTTAAAAAAAATCTGTAGGAATCCAGGTGAATAGTCATTTTCAGCAAGAATTTCCCAGCCTGCAGGCAGCTGGGGATCAGGAAAAAAAAGAAAAAGAAACAAGTGATGACAATTATGGACCTGGACCCAGTTTACGCCCACCAAGTAAGAATACTTTTTATTTCATAGAAATAGTGAATGAGATCGTATTTGTATTTTATTTTGTAACATAACCCACCCAATATTATTGTATGTGTAACTTACCTCCTTTGAAAAGACAGAGTAACTGCTGTCATTCTGGTGTGGTTTTCACATGCACAGCATTGGTATAACTTAGAGAACATGTTGGGGTGCCTGAGTGGCTCAGTTGACTGCCTTCGGCTCAGGTCGTGATCCTGGAGTCCCGGGATCAAGTCCCGCATCGGGCGGGATCCCTGTTCGGCAGGGAGTCTGCTTCTCCCTCTGACCCTCTTCTCTCTCGTGCTCTCTCTCTCTCATTCTAATCTCTCTCTCAAATAAATAAATAAAATCTTTAAAAAAATAATAAAATAAAAGAACATGTTGGAAATGTACATCTTGGGCCTCACACCCAACCCACTAAATTAGAAATCTGCATTTTAACAAGATTCCTGGGTGAGTTCTTTGCACATTAATATTGGTCATTTTTACAGTAGTAAAAATTTGGAACCAACCCCTCTAATATGCAAATATTTATTTGTAAATCATATCGATTTATCTGCTACTCTGTTAACATTCAGTGATCCTGTGCTTTCTGAACTCACACCAAAGAACCAAATAAATTTGGATAGTAAGAAATACTTGTATTATGGACATAAAGGAAGAGCTAAAAATAGAAATATAAAATCCTTGAGATTAAGTGTCTTATTTATTAATTATATTAGTTTTCTATTGTCTTTACCAAATATCTGAAAGGATCTTGTATACATGGGAGATTTCTCTTTTCGGTGATGGTTACAAATCTGTATTTCTGATAACCTAATACATTTTATACTTATGGCTCATTTCTTGTCTGGGTAAATCATCTTTTCTTATTTTTATTTTTAATTGTTACATAGTTGATGTATTTATATTAGAAATAGATTGTCAGCTGTATTTTCTTTATTTTTTTAAGATTTTTTTATTTTTAATTTTAAGTAACTTCTACACTCAACATGGGGCTTGAGCTTACAACCCTGAGATCAGGAGTTCCATGCTGTACCCACTGAGCCAGCCAGGCACCCCTCTATTATTTTCTTGTTCAGTTGATTTTCACCAGTTATCTGTTCCTGCAGAGCAGATTTGGCAGCTTAAAACAACAACTGAACTAGACTTAATGATTTCACACAGTATCCAAGGGTCAAAGAATCTTTGAGCTGCTTAGCTAGGAGTTGTGGCACAGGAACTCTCTCAACAACCTTGCAGTATGTCATCTAATGCTGACTTGACAGGGCTACTGTTCCAGGCTCACTCGTGGTAGCTCTTTTGTGTCTGGGCTGCTCACAGCATTGCTTCCCCAGATAAAGTAAAGAGTGACAGGACTACTCCCACTCAGGATGGAAGCCCAGTCTTTTATAACTTAACCCCATAAGAGACACATCATCACTGCTGCTTTATTCTGTAGGTAACACAAACCAATCCTGGTACAGGGTGTGAATACCAGGAGGTAGAAACCCATTTTGTGTCATCTTAGAGGCTACCTACCAAAGAGATATCCTTATAAAATCATTTACCTATTTTACTGAGTGTAGTTTTACCAGATACTATAGTCACTAAATTTGCCCCCTTGGGCACATGTAACTAGCCATAGTAGCCTGAAAACAGATAAGGGCATTACTGTCACCACAGGACTCCCAACCCTCTTCCCTCAGGACACCTCCAGGTATAACAGTGACTTTAATCTCTATAACAAATAATGGTAAAGCTCAATAGAAAAGTTTTTTTTTTTTTTAAGATTTTATTTTTTATTTATTTGACACGGAGAGAGACAACAAGAGAGGGAACACAAGCAGGGGGAGTGGGAGAGGGAGAAGCAGGCTTCCCACGGAGCAGGGAGCCCAAGGCAGGGCTCGATCCCAGGACCCTGGGATCACGACCTGAGCCAAAAGCAGACGCTTAACGATTGAGCCACCCCTCGATAGAGAAGTTCTAATATTTTCTTCCCCAACCCCAGTATTTGCTTTTGGTGGTACCCTCTGTGGTACGTTTGCTCTGCTTTGGAAGCCACTGTTCTTGATATCCTAAACACTTTGAAAGCAGTAGGACATAGATTAGATTTTCACTACTCCTTCACTGTGTTTTGTTACTCTGTTGAATTGTGTTAATGTGCCTAGTTTGATTTCACTGTATTCCATTTTCAGCTTTTTTCTTATGCCCCTCCCCCTTTTTAATTTCAATTCTAAATTCTGTGGAGCTGTTTCTTTGTTTTATTTATTTATTTTTTAATATTTATTTATTTGACAGAGAGAGAGACAGCAAGAGTGGGAACACAAGCAGGGGGAGTGGGAGAGGGAGAAGCAGGCTTCCCGCGGAGCAGGGAGCCCGATGTGGGGCTCGATCCCAGGACCCCGGGATCATGACCTGAGCCGAAGGCAGACGCTTAACGACTGAGCCACAGGCACCCTGTTTCTTTGTTTTAATTGAATTTCTTACCTCTCTCCATACCAGATGTTGCTTGTTGGAGAGATGGTGGTAAGTCTGCTGGATCACCTTTGACATCTGACCAAGATGAAAAGCTCTCTGGCCAGGATGAAAGCACGGCTGGAACATCAGAACAAAATGATATCCTCAAAGTGGTGGAAAAGAGGATAGCTTGTGGTCCTCCACAGGCTAAACTGAATGGACAGCAGCCTGCTCTTGCTTCCCAGTACAGAGCTATGATGCCTCCTTATGTAAGTATTGTTAAAGAGGCAAGTTGTTAAATAAGAGGTTTTTGCTCTGGGTTCCATGGAGAGAATTAGAATGGGGAAAAGTTTAGGTCTTTATTTGCATTAACATCTAACTAAAAATTAGCATTTTCCTTGATTATGGATGCAGGAAATAAATCACAGAAGTATCAGGAGTACCCTAGTTTTTATCATTAATAGGGATCGTATTTATTTTCATTTCCTATCATATTGTGGATATGGCAAAATATACTCAGTAATACTTCAAAGTAGTTATTAGACCCATGGGTAGCCCCACTTGTTATTTAATGAAAGCACATACATTACCATATCATAAATTCGCTTTTTCAATACTGTGTTAACAAAATTTTAGCATAATTGTTTTCTTTTGTAGTACTCTGTGTTTTAGGTTATGTATTTAAAACATTTCTATGAGAAGAGATTTCATAGGATTGACCAGACTGCCAAGGGGGGTTGTTCATGGCACAAAAAAGGTTAATATGTGCTTTAGCTTTAAAGTTTTTATTGGTAAACATACCTTTTACATTCTTTTTAATTTCTCATTATGGAATATTTTGAACATATGCAAAAACAGAAATAATAGTACAGTGAGCCCCCCCCTTCTTCTATATCTACCACCCATCTTCAGTAGTTAATCAACTTGTGGTTAGTCTTGGTTCAGCTATTTCCCACCACCTCCAGTTACTGAAGCAACATTTTAGATACATCGTTTCATCCATATATGTTTTAGGTTGTATTTTAAAACATAAAAACTAGGAGAAAAATCCACCATGGCATTATCACACCTAAAAGGAAAGTTTTGCTTTTTTATCTAAAAAAAAAAAAATTTTTTTTAAAAAGATTGATTTATTTATGGGTTGGACAGAGAGAGGAGGAAGGGGAGTCTTTTTTTTTTTTTTAAGATTTTATTTATTTGAGAGAGAATGAGAGAGAGAGAGCACGAGAGGAAAGAGGGTCAGAGGGAGAAGATGTGGGACTCGATCGCGGGACTCCAGGATCATGACCTGAGCCGAAGGCAGTCGCTTAACCAACTGAGCCACCCAGGCGCCCGAGGAGGGGGAGTCTTAAGCAGACTCTGCCCTGAGTGCAGAGCCTGGCATGGGCTCGATCTCATGACCCTGAGATCACAACCTGAGCCGAAACCAAGAGTCATACATGCGACGGACTGTGCCACCCAGGCGCCCCTAAAAAAAGTTTTTAAAAACATCAAGTCAGTATCCCGATTTCTCTGGTTTTCTCATGATTAGGATCCAAATATTTGAGATTGATATTTTTCTTAGGAATCCTGTTGCCTTTGGTTACTTCTTTCCCTCCATCTCCCTCACTCTCTCTTTTTTGGGGGGGGGAGCTTGTTATTTATTTGTTATCCTGTGGAGTTTTTCATAGTCTGGATTTTGCTGATTCTATTTTTGTAGTTTAATATATATTTATGACCCATATATTTCTGTAAATTAATAGGTAGATTTGGTGCCCTCAAACCTTTGTTTGCTGTCAGCCTTCTGTGAAATGATAGGGTAAACTACATGTGCCCAAGTAAATAAATTAACATTTTTCAGGAGACCATTAATCTCAAAGAGAGTAAGGGTCTGGTTCTTATACTTATTTTTATTATGACTTAATTCCTAAGTATTCAGGCACTAAATATCCATATTTTTTCATATTTTCTTTGTATTTAATTATTCTAGGGGAGAGGAGGGAAATAAATAATTAAAAATATATATATTTTTAATTTAGGAGCATGATAAAAATCAGTCATATAAGCATATAAGAAAAATTATTGAAAAATTATTTACACCAAACTGCTTGTCTCCTAATAGTTTCCAAATTGTTCTTCCAAAGACCCCTGAATTTTCAGGCCTGGGGTTTGGGATGGTTGAAGGGAAAGTTTTAAAAGGGGAGACCAAGCAGGCTTTTTTCCAGTTTCATCAATCATTTTATAGTTCCACTAACAAAAACAAATTTTTTATTGTTATGTTAATCATCATACATTACATCATCAGTTTTTGATGTAGAGTTCCATGATTCATTGCTTGTGCACAACACCCAGTGCTCCATGCAGAATGTGCCCTCTTTAATACCCATCACCAGGCTAACCCATCCCCCTACCCTCCTCCCCTCTAGAACCCTCGGTTTGTTTTTCAAAGTCCATCGTCTCTCCTGGTTCGTCTCCCCCTCCGACTTACTCCCCTTCATTCTTCCCTTCCTGCTATCTTCTTCTTTTTCTTTTTTCTTAACATATGTTGCATTATTTGTTTCAGAAGTACAGATCTGTGATTCAACAGTCTTGCACAATTCACAGCACTCACCATAGCACATACCCTCCCCAATGTCTATCACCCAGCCACCCCATCCCTCCCACCCCCCACCACTCCAGCAACACTCAGTTTGTTTCCTGAGATTAAGAATTCCTCGTATCAGTGAGGTCATATGATACATGTCTTTCTCTGATTGACTTATTTCACTCAGCATAACACCCTCCAGTTCCATCCATGTCGTTGCAAATGGCAAGATCTCATTCCTTTTGATGGCTGCATAATATTCCATTGTGTATATATACCACATCTTCTTTATCCATTCATCTGCCGGTGGACATCTTGGCTCTTTCCATAGTTTGGCTATTGTGGACATTGCTGCTATAAACATTGGGGTGCACGTACCCCTTCGGATCCCTACATTTGTATCTTTGTGGTAAATACCCAGTAGTGCAATTGCTGGATCGTGTGGTAACTCTATTTTCAACTGTTTGAGGAAACTCCATACTGTTTTCCAGAGGGGTTGCACCAGCTTGCATTCCCACCAACAGTGTAGGAGGGTTCCCCTTTCTCCACATCCCCGCCAACATCTGTCGTTCCCTGACTTGTTAACTTTAGCCATTCTGACTGGTGTGAGGTGGTATCTCATTGAGGTTTTGATTTGGATTTCCCTGATGCCGAGCGATGTGGAGCACTTTTTCATGTGTCTCTTGGCCATTTGGATGTCTTCTTTGGAAAAATGTCTGTTCATGTCTTCTGCCCATTTCTTGATTGGATTATTTGTTCTTTGGGTTTTGAGTTTAATAAGTTCTTTATAGATTTTGGATACTCGCCCTTTATCTGATATGTCATTTGCAAAGATCTTCTCCCATTCTGTCGGTTGTCTTTTGGTTTTGTGGACTGTTTCTTTTGCTGTGCAAAAGCTTTTTATCTTGGTGAAATCCCAATAGTTCATTTTTGCCCTTGCTTCCCTTGCCTTTGGCGATGTTTCTAGGAAGAAGTTGCTGTGGCTGAGGTCGAAGAGGTTGCTGCCTGTGTTCTCCTTTAGAATTTTGATGGACTCCTGTCTCACGTTTAGGTCTTTCAACCATTTGGAGTCTATTTTTGTGTGTGGTGTAAGGAAATGGTCCAGTTTCATTCTTCTGCATGTGGCTGTCCAATTTTCCCAACACCATTTGTTGAAGAGACTGTCTTTTTCCCATTGGACATTCTTTCCTGCTTTGTCAAAGATAAGTTGACCATAGAGTTGAGGGTCCATTTCTGGGCTCTCGATTCTGTTCCATTGATCTATGTGTCTGTTTTTGTGCCAGTACCATACTGTCTTGATGATGACAGCTTTGTAATAGACCTGGAAGTCCGGAATTGTGATGCCGCCAGCTTTGCTTTTCTTTTTCAATATTCCTCTGGCTATTCAGGGTCTCTTCTGGTTCCATACAAATTTTAGGATTCTTTGTTCAATTTCTTTGAAAAAAGTGGATGGTATTTTGATGGGGATTGCATTGAATGTGTAGATTGCTCTAGGTAGCATTGACATCTTCAAAATGTTGGTTCTCCCAATCCATGAGCATGGAACGTTTTTCCATTTCTTTGTGTCTTCTGCAATTTCTTTCATGAGTATTTTATAGTTTTCTGAGTACAGATCCTTTGCCTCTTTGGTTAGATTTATTCCTAGGTATCTTATGGTTTTGGGTGCAATTGTAAATGGGATCGACTCCTCGATTTGTCTCTCTTCTGTCTTGTTGTTGGTGTATAGGAATGCCACTGATTTCTGTGCATTGATTTTATATCCTGCTACTTTACTGAATTCCTGTATGAGTTCTAGCAGTTTTTGGGTGGAGTCTTTTGGGTTTTCCACATACAGTATCATATCATCTGCAAAGAGTGAGAGTTTGACTTCCTCTTTGCCGATTTGGATGCTTTTGATTTCTTCTTCTTGTCTGATTGCTGTGGCTAGGACTTCTAATACTATGTTGAATAGCAGTGGTGATAGTGGACATCCCTGCCGCGTTCCTGACCTTAGGGGAAAAGCTCTCAGCTTTTCCCCATTGAGAATGATATTTGCTGTAGGTTTTTCATAGATGGCTTTTATGATATTGAGGTATGTACCCTCTATCCCTATACTCTGACGAGTTTTGATGAAGAAAGGATGCTGTACTTTGTCAAATGCTTTTTCTGCATCTATTGAGAGGATCACATGATTCTTGTTCTTTCTTTTGTTAATGTATTATATCACGTTGATTGATTTGCGGATGTTTTTAAAACCATCACTATATATGGAGAATTTAAAGACTGTTTCTACACTTATTTTGTGGCAAATTCCTAAATTTTAAGCATTTAATACATCAAATTAATCTCTATGTCTGACTAATCAGCAGAAGAGGGATCTAATGAAACTTTACCTGTGCACATTTGCCTCCAACTGTGTTTTTGCTAACTTTCAGTACAGGATGATGTAACCAAAAATTCTCAGCATTCGCCAGACTAAAAGCTTCTCCATCTGAGCTTCAGCTGCTGCTTAACTTAAAATTAACTTGCTCTAACCCTACTTAGAAATGCATCTTTAGATGGAATGATCATATAAACAGCCTTTCTTCAAGTACAGAGTAATTTCTTTACCTAACAGGTTTTGGTTTTTTTTTTTTTTTAAAAGAAAAGCTAATCTATTTCAGGATGTAAATTACGTGTTTAAGGTAATACAGTCTTTTCTTTCTTGCCTGCCTTCCTTCCCTTCTCACTCCCTCCCACCCTCTCTCCTTTCTTTTTCCCCCCTCTTTCCTTCTTTTTCTTTATTTTTTCTTTTCTTTTCTTTTCCTTCTTGTATTTTGACCTGGTTATAAGCAAATAGCTAGAAGCACATCTTTTGACATTTGTTCCCTTCTCTTGGCGGTGTTGTCTTCATACTCTAACTTCTCCTAAACTTCACTTCTCAAATCCAAGTTCCCATAGAGAGCAACATCCTTGTACCTCAGCTTATGATAATGATCTGTATATTAGCTTGAATCAGAATCCACCTATTTCCAACCCCTGGGAAATCTCCCATACCCACTATCTTCCTCACTCCCCTGGATTATGGACCATACTTTTATCTAAACTGAATTTCTCGGGGCACCTGAGAGGCTCAGTTGTTAGGCGTCTGCCTTCGGCTCAGGTCATGATCCCAGGGTCCTGGGATTGAGCCCTGCATCTGGCTCCCTGCTTGGCGGGAAGCCTGGTTCTCCCACTCCCCGTTTGCGTTCCCTGTCTTGCTTTCTCTCTCTCTGTCAGATAAATAAACTAAAATCTTTAAAATAAACTGAATTTCTCTTTACCAACAAATCTGCCTTCAGTTAATCTATTGCATTATGATGAAGTGTCACATTATTTCCTTTCAGGTATTTGAACTTAGGGCTCTGCAGGTCCCTGGGGTGCATGCATGTTGTCTTTTTAGGTTTTTCATGTTGGTACATAATCATGTGATTTTGTTAATGCGATAGCAGAAGTTCTTTCTAGGATGTGTCCTAGTTATTATCCATGTTTGTAAAGTCTTGCTAGATGCAGTAGTCTTTAACAGATGGCTTGTTATTGAGGGTGAATGATGATTTATACCAGCTGATACACCAATTATTTATAGAATGGTTTATTATAATCTTTCTTTCTATAAATTGAGGTTTAGTTAGGGTGATCTCTTTTATATATATACATAACTTGGTTGCAGAATTTACCAATTTTGTTTTCTTCATTCAGATGTTTCAACAGTATCCGAGGATGGCGTATCCTCCTCTTCATGGTCCCATGAGGTTTCCACCTTCTTTATCTGAAACAAACAAGTAAGACTATTAAATGATAAAAGTTGCCAAGGCACGAGGGCACATATGCTCATTAAGATTTTCTGGAGGTTGAATGGATTGTGATGATTGATTCATTATTTTGACCTCAGAGTACAGTTGCCATGAACAAATAATTGACTTTTATAAGATAGAACAATACTTTATTCTTCTAAAACTTTAAATTGACGTTAAGATTCTGAAAACTGAAAATCATGGCATGACAGTTGTTTATCCTTTCTTCCTTCCATGATGTTAATGACGCCCCATTTTCTTTTCTTTTTTTTTTTTTTGTTTAATGTGAGACTCGAACATTCTCCTCATTAGAATTTCTTCATACACATGTCAGGTGCAGAATATTTTGTACATCAGACAATACTAATGTTGAATTGAAATGAACTAAATTCCAGTCTTTTAATATTTACATAATTTAGAATCATTAAAACTTTGTATCTTTTCCCCTCCTAACCTCTTGTTCATTAGAAGCCTTCGAGGAAGGGGTCCACCTCCTTCATGGGCCTCTGAGCCTGAACGCCCCTCCATCCTTAGTGCTTCAGAACTAAAGGAGCTTGATAAATTTGATAACCTAGATGCTGAAGCTGATGAAGGTTGGGCAGGTAAGAGGCAAAATTAATTGTTTTTAGTTTTTGGATGTTTTTAAACAGTCAGTCTGAATTTTCCTTAATTTACTAGGTGCTCAGATGGAAGTAGATTATACAGAACAGCTGAATTTCAGTGATGATGATGAGCAAGGAAGTAGTAGTCCTAAAGAAAACAGCAGGTAAGCTATTGGAACAACTTCCACGAGTAATACTATGAATTCATTGATATAACATTATCCATTTATGCAGAGAGGTTTCATTAATAGTCATTTGTTCCTTTTTTATAGAATTTCTATATTCTACTCCAAGAACTTACTGAGTGGGAAGTTGACTAATAAGCCAAATTTAAAGTACAGCTAGTCAAGGAATTAAAGTTTGATGCTTCTAAAGAAAATACATATTTTAAAAAAGATGTTTAGATCCTGGCCATCTAATTGGTGATTTTTTTTTTTTTAATTTTATTTATTTATCAGAGAGAGACACAGCAAGAGAGGGAACACAAGCAGGGGGAGTGGGAAAGGGAGAAGCAGGCTTCTCGCTGAGCAGGGAGCCCAATGTGGGGCTCATTCCCAGGACCCAGGGATCATGACCTGAGCTGAAGGCAGACGCTTAATGACTGAGCCACACAGGTGCCCCTAATTGGTGATGTTTTTTTTTTAAAGATTTTATTTATTTGAGAGAGAGAACGAGAGAGAGAGAGCACATGAGAGGGGATAGGGTCAGAGGGAGAAGCAGACTCCCCGCTGAGCAGGGATCCCGATTCAGGACTCGATTCTGGGACTCCAGGATCATGATCCGAGCCAAAGGCAGTCGCTCAACCAACTGAGCCACCCAGGCGCCCTAATTGGTGATATTTTGAAAGACAATATCAGAGACTATTTCAAACTTGTTACTTGCATATTACATATTTACAAAATTGGAGAAAAATTACTTGAATTACTATAGCTGCTTTTTTAAACTTGAGCAAGCAACATTAAAGTTTGAAAAATGGGAGCTTTTCATCTCTAATATAGGGACATCAGAGTCAGAAATATATGGATTATATACCATAAAAATTGGGCTCTTAAAATACAAGGAGCTTGCATGCACATGCAATTAGTTGTTAGAAGTTTTGGTAGAATTGGTAGAGTTTCTAGCCATGGCATTGTAATATACTGCTGTTTCATGATCAGTTCTGAGATGCCTGGCACTTGTGATTTTAAAAAATACTATAGTTTGACTTCTGTCTTTTCATTAAGTCAGAATAAGAATACAGGTATTAATTATAATATTACTTGGTTGCACTTAGATGAGACTTTTTGGGTGGGGGTCAATCAAATGGTTGGGATATATTCCTTTGTGAAGTTGTATGTCAAGATTGAGTGTCCATATTTGACAGCTACTCTACTGCACTCTACACCTTGTGATGATAGCTTAGCCAAACCTAGGTCCTAACACATTATAGACATATGGCATATATTTACTGAATGAATGAATGAATGAATAGCACCATTGGTCACAAGACCATCTCATTTCTTGATATATTCCCACTCCACCCACTAAAACTATAGAGAAATAATCTTTATAGACAAAATGCTTTTACTTAGGTGTAGTCTGTCCACTTTACTTTCTTATTTCACCTGGATTTTGATTGCTTAGTGAGGATCAAGGTTCAAAAGCTTCTGAAAACACTGAAAACCGAAAAGAAGCAGATGAAGCTTGCAACACGAAGTCATCTTCTCAGATACCTGCCCAGCCATCAGTATCAAAAGGTCCCTATGGGAAGGGACCTCCATTTAATCAGGTTTGTTGGACTTAAGATCGTTTTCACTACCTGTACCTTGGTTGAATTAATCTTGTAATCATAAAATTGAAAGAAGAATTAGGAAAAGGAAACTGTATCTTTTGTCTTGAATAGTTGTACATCTAAACCATAATTTTATTGCATTATTAATAGGAACTGTCAATACAGTAGCTAAAATTAACAACTAGAAACTAAAGTTTCACCTTTTTTCTGTCTTGTAACTGTTTGGTCCTATTAAAGTGGAGGTTTAAACTTTTTCCAAACATTGCTAAGTGCTTTATGGTTTACTGAGTTCTTTGTAAATTCTAGTCAGTATTCATATGTGAAATAATACAGTGAGTAGGGAAATCACACATAAGGAGTAGAGAAATCTATTAAGTGTGAGTCATTTTGAAGAACATTGTTAAAGGAAATAATGTAGGTAAACAGATACACTTGATCCTACTTCCAAGAAACTGCATTGCAAGCTGGGAATTAAAAAGGGCTGTCATCCAGAGAGTCCACTTGACTCATAGTGTACTCAGCATATATTTGTTGAATTCATACAAAACAGATGGAGGAACTGGTCCCTTCAAGGAGATAAAAGGTAGATAGCTAACGGTCTCTGTAAAATGAAAAGACATCAAATATCATTTGCGAGACAGTGTGATAAATGGTGTGACAGAGCGCACATAATGAGTTCTTAGAGCATTCTCCGGAAAAGGTTTTGCAAAAGACTTGGTACTTGAAGTGGGAATTAGCCAGTAAACAAAGGGAAGAGAGAAATTTCAAGCAGTGGGAACATGTTCAGAGTAGAGAAGCACGAGAAAGCATGGCACATTCTAGAAGTCTCCAGTAGTTTGATAGAGGAGAGGAGTTAAGACAGCTGCATAATAACCAGTTGTTAAATGTATGTTATACAAGGAAGTTTGAATTTTGTTCTTAAGGCATTGATTAGTCATTGGAGAATAAATTTGTGAACTCGAAAAAGGATTTTTCAAGTTTTTTTTTTTTAATAAAATTCATGTTTTATGTGACTTAAATTTACTGGCTTGACATGGGGAGTGATAATCCTTTCCCATGAAAGAATAAAGGAATATCATATACCATATCTTGATGCTTTGATTTGTGTGTGTGTGTGTGACATTGTATTAGCAAGTGAATAGTGTTGTGAAGTGTAGCAAGTGAGAATGTATTGTATTTGATTCCAATATGTTTTAGATGTTTCATTTCTTTAGATAAATCTCATACATTTAGTTTGCCATTAGGAAAAAATGCAGAAAAAGAATAGGGCTTATGTAAATAAAATTCCAAATTAAAGGCGTACTTCTCCACTGCCAAATTACCTGTGGTAGAATTTCAGAATTTATACACTAAAATTCTACTTTTTGCAAAGTCCATTTGAGATTCTAATCTTATTAAAATGGCAGAGTGATTTTATAGAATATAATGTTATCATGCAGTGAGTGGTGTACTTTTATTAAAAAAGAGAAAAGGATGAAGATGGTTTACTGTTTGCCATCTTGTAGTGCCACTGAAGAAAGTTTACGTTCAGTAATATTTCCAGTAGATATCTTTTATCTGGTTATTTTGTAATATTCCTTATCTTTATTATAGGAACGTGGACCATCTTCACACCTGCCACCACCTCCAAAATTGCTTGCACAGCAGGTAAATGTTAAATGCTTCTTTGTGGTCTGTATGTATTATTTGATTTTATTTCTTTAATGGAAAGATTTCTGTATGTTTCTTACAACTTTTATGAAACAACTAGGGTTATTACCTTGTTAGTTCTTTGCATATCTTCCTCTTTTTTCTCCTCTTCGTTCTCAGTTGATAGGCATGCTCCTAATTTCTCTAAGAAAATGAGAAGCAACTGTTTTTCCCATTTCAGTGCCCTTCTTATTCTGACTTCTTCCTATCTTTGCTGCTAAGGGCAACCCTTCTTACTGTTCCTTTGCTCCCACCTTCTATCACTTATCGGTAATATTATCTCCCATCTTAAACTTTTTAAAAAAATCAACCCTTCTTTAACTCTCACTACCCTCCATCCCCCTATAGTTTCCACCCTATTTCTCTGTTCTCCTTCATGGCAAAATTGTTTTAGTGAGCTATTTGCACTTACTGTCTTCACTTTCTCTCTCAATAACCCTTTACGGTTACACGAATATTACCACTATGCCTTTGAAACTATTATTATGAAGATCAGTAATGGTTTCCGTCTTGCCAAATTCAGTTCTGTTGTCTTCATTTTACTTAATTTCAGTAGCGGTTGACATAGCTAATCTTTCCATCCTTCCTAAAAGACCATTTTTTTTACTTTTAAGACATCACACTTACTGTGTTCTCTTCTTCAATTTGTATTTTTTGTGGGCCTTTATGGGGGGGGGAGCGCACGCACGCACACACACAGGAAGGGGGAGGGGCAGAGAGGGGGGGAACGAGAATCCCGAGCAGACTCCCCACTGAATGTGGAGCCCGACTCGGGACTTGATCCCACAACATTGAAATCATGACCTGAGCCAAAATCAAGAGTCAGACGCTTAACTAAGCCACCCAGGTGCCCCTGGGTGTTGGAGGGTTAAGGGTTGTGTTCTTATTCCTTTTTCTGACTGTATCCTTTCCTTGGAAGATTTCATAAATGTGCTTATGGTACTTAAATATATGTTATCTGTAGCCCTTAAAGTTCTACGCTAACTTCAAGAGTCATGTATTTAGTGATCAATTAAGCATCTCCACTTGGATTTCTGATAAGATATGTCCAAACCATAACAATATCCTCCCCCCCGTACACGTGACACACGTGGCCCTGCTTCTTCCCTTGTCTTCCCATCTTATGTAATGGCATTATCATTTACCCATTTGCTCAGGGTAAAACCTAGAAGTCACTCATAACTCTTCCCTCTTTATCATACATCCACCCTAATCTATCAGCAAATTATGTCACCCCTACCTTCGGGATATATTCCTATACCGAGTAATTGCCTACCACCCGTTATACTTCACTTCAACTATCACAGTAGGTTCCTAATAGGTCTTATTTCCCACTCTTGCTCTGCTTACCTGCCACCTCCATCCTAAATTCTCCTATAGTAGATCAGTCTTGTCCTATTCAGGTCCTTCCAGTGGTCTTTAAGGTCTCAGTCTACTCTCCTCATTTTATCTAGTTTTCTCTTTGTTCTTGCCACACAAGCTTTATTGCAGCAAATAAAACATATTTTATTTGCTGTTTCCTCTTAACTAGAGGAATGTTTTCCAGAGATCCTTATAATCAAATTCTTTGCTCAGGTGTTACCACTTTAGAGGGCTTCCCTAATCACCCTACTGTGACGGGCATACACACCACAACCATCACCACCATCTCCACCAGTCGTTTTCCTTTTAACAACTGAATGCTCTTTATGGTATTTTTATATACATACAGGCTAAAACTAAACATGTGGAAGAAAGTGGAGAAAAAAATCTTTAAACTTGGGTCAACAAAGATGATCTTGGATAATTCACAAAAGGTGTGAATTAGAAAAAAAAATCTGTCAGTTGGAGTTTTAAAAACATCTCTGAGGCAATGAAAAAATATGTACATAAAAAATATTACTAATCTGACCAGAACATGTACCAGAATATATATATATTTTTTAGGAAAGTATTTATTTCTTTTTAAAGATTTTATTTATTTATTTATCAGAGAGCGAGCGAGCACAAGCAGGGGGAGCGGCAGGCAGAGGGAGAAGCAAGACTCCCTGCTGAGCAAGGAGCCCCATGCAGGGCTCAATCCCAGGACCCTGGTATCATCACCTGAGCCAAAGGCAGACACTTAACTGACCCACCCAGGCGTCCCTGGAATATATTTTTTAAAAGAAGTACAAACAGGGGTGCCTGGTGGCTCAGTCGGTTAAGCATCTGCCTTTGGCTCAGGTTGTGATCCCCAGAGTCCTGGGATTGAGTCTCGCCTTGGGCTCCCTGCTCTGCCTACCTCTTTGTCTCTCATGAATGAATAAATAAAATCTTAGGAAAAAAAAAGAACAAACAAAAGACCCTTATAACTAATAATAAGACAAGTAGTCCAAAATGATTTGAACATTCACTTCACAAAATGAGATATATAAATGGCCAGTAAGCACAAGAAAAGATGTTCAGTATCTTAAACACCACGGAAATGCAAGTTAAAACCACAGTGAGATTTTGTTACACATCCAAAATTTAAAGGGCTGGTGACACCAAATATGGTGGGGATATAAAGCAGCTAGCACCCTCATAAATTACTGGTGGGGCTGTAAAACCTTGTAACCACTTTGGAAAACAGTTTGGCAGTGTCTTAATAAAGTGAAAAATACACTTAACACAGGACTCGGCAGTTCCACTCCTAAGTATTTATCCAAGAGAAATGAAAACACATGCATTTACACAAAGACTTAGGCATGAATGTCCATAACTGTTTATTCATAATTAAAAAAATTAGAAGCAGTCCATGTGTCCATCCACAAGTGAAACGATGTGCCTGTGATAGAATACTACTGTCCAGCGATAGAATGGAACAAATGATGGATGGCCACCTCCAAACTATTATCCTGAGCAGGAGAAGCCAGATACAAAAGAAAATATAACTTGATGTATCCATATATATGAAACTAGGAAAGGTAAAACTACTCTCTGTTGCCAGAGGCAGACCAGTGGTTGTTTGGGGTTAGGGGTGCTGGCAGATAAAGTGGTTTGCCTAAGACAGCACTGTTAGTAAATGGTAGAGTCTGGATCATATATATATATTTTTTATATTTAGTCCAGTGTTTTCATCATACCATTATTTTCTCATTTGTAAGGATTCCGACTGGTTATATGGCTTTTGAGATTTCTTCACCCTACTAGCTATTAAAATCAGTATTTTTAAATGTTCTTTTTAGTTCCTTAACATCTCAGCCCTTTAGGTGCTCTCGTTATTCTGCTTGTTTTGCGTAGTTGCTGGCAGTGATTGTAGTTGTTTTAGAACATATCAATTAAAAAGTAGGTCATTAAAACTCAGTCTCTCAAGTGATATCCCACATTCCACTGTGGGTGGGTTCTAAGCATGCATTTTGGATCTTCCAGTTCCCAGCTCGAGAACTCTGTCTACACAGGCTGATTTCTAGGAATTTCTCCTCCTCGGAAGTGTCGGCAATAGTAGTGTCTCCAACTTCTTCACTTAGCAGCTCTGGCTGGCTGTTTTTTCCCTGTAACTGCACCTTTGTCTTCTCAGGGCTCACATGACACTGTTCTGCATCTTTATGGACTTCTCTCCCTCTTTAGGCATTCCATCTCTGACAGTTGCAGCTCCAAAAAGCACTCACATTCTAAATTTCCTTCATGTCTAAATTTAGATTTTGAAATTCATGTTGTGACAGCTTCTAATTTCATTCAACAAATTCTGTATGTGTGATAATGTCTGCCACAATAAATAGGTACATGGCCTAGATTAATTGTTCTGGTCTTGGGGAATTATCTAAATTTAATATTTTCCCCATGTTGGTACTTGTTTGTATTTTAACATGTATGTTTTATCAGAAACATTTGTGACATTTTGTGGCGTTTTTTCTTCCCTCTTCATGTCTATGATTTGGCTAAGATCAAGTGTGGAAATAGATTTGTCATATTCATCTGGTAATTTATCATAATGTTTCAGCATCCTCCTCCAGACCGGCAGGCAGTACCTGGAAGACCAGGCCCTTTCCCCCCGAAGCAGCAAGTACCAGATGAAGATGAAATATGGAAGCAAAGAAGAAGACAGCAGTCAGAACTTTCTGCAGCAGTGGAACGCGCTCGGAAACGGCGTGAAGAGGAAGAGCGAAGAATGGAAGAACAAAGGAAGGCAGCATGTGCAGAGAAACTGAAACGATTGGATGAAAAGCTTGGCATTGTGGACAAACAACCCTCTCCAGAGGAGATTAGAGAAAGGGAGCGAGAAAAAGAACGGGAGCGTGAGAAAGAACTTGAAAGAGAACAAGAACGGGAGCGAGAGAAGGAGAGGGAAAAAGAAAGGGAGAGGCAACAGGAGAAGGAGAAAGAACTGGAGAGAGAGCAGGAAAAACAGAGAGAACTGGAAAAGGAAAGAAAGCAAGAAAAAGAAAAAGAACTAGAACGACAGCAGGAAAAGGAAAAAGAACTGCAAAAGATCAAGGAACAGGAAAAGGAATGTGAGTTGGAGAAGAAAGAAAGGGAAAAAGTGGAGGAAAAAATTGAACACAAAGAACCAACTTTAGAGCCTATGGTAGAGAAACCAGAAAGTGAAACCAGCTGTAATAAAGGTATGAGAGTCTTGTTTGTTCTTATAAAGAGGGTTCATAGTACTTCTGGTGTGGATGTTTGTGTATTTTTAATATATGTATGTATATAATCCAGATAAAAATGATTGAGGTGGTTTTTTTTTTTTAAGATTGATTTTATTTATTTAGAGAGCGAGCATGGGTACGCACATTTGTTAGCAGGGGGAGGGGCAGAGGGAGAGAGAATCTCAAGCAGAGCCCAACTCGGTGCTGGATCCCAGGACCTTGAGGTTGTGACCTGAGACAAACTCAGGAGTCAGACGCTTAACCAGCTGAGCTACCCAGGCATCCCAATTGAGTTTTTTTTTTAAATAGAAGCTGAATTTTATTGGATACTTTAATACTCTTTTTTCCGTAATTTTTTTATTATGGTGAAATATATGTAACATAAAATTTAGCATCTTAACTATTTTTAGGTATACAGTTTAATGGTATTAAATACATTCATAATTTGTACAGTTACCACCACCATCCATCTCCAGAACTCTTTCCGTCTTATAAAACTGAAACTCTACCTATTAAACAATAGTTCTGTGTTCTCCCCTCTCCTCAGCCCCTGGCAACCACTGTTCTAATTTCTGTCTCTGATTTTGACTGTTCACAGTGCCTCATACAGTATTTGTCTTTTTGTGACTGGCTTGTTTCACTTAGTATATTATCTTCCAAGATTCTTCCATATTGTAGCATATTGCAGAATTTTCTTCCTTTTTAAGGCTAATAATCTATATCTAAAACCACATTTTGCTTGTCTGTTTATCTGTTCATGGGCACTTGGATTGATTCCATATTTTACCTATTTTGAATAATGCTGCTGTGAATGTGAGTGTACAAATATTCATTTCTTTTGATTACATACTCAGAAATGGAATTGCTCCATCATATGGTAATTCTGTTTTTGATTTTTTTGAGGAACCACCATACTGTTTTTCACAGCAGCTGTACCATTTTGCATTCCCATGAACAATGCACAAGGGTTCTAATTTCTCCACATCCTCACCAACATCTGTTATTTTCTGAGGGTTTTTTTGATAGTAGACTTCCTAATAAGTGTGAGGTGGTATTTCACTGTACTTTTGATGTGCGCTTTGCCAATGATTAATGATGTGTTGAGTATTATCTTTTCATGTGTTTATTGGCCATTTGTGAATCTTTGGAGAAATGCCCAAGTCCTTTGTCCGTTTTTTAAACAGATTGTTGTTAAGTTTTAGGAGTTGGCTGTACATTCTAGATGTTAATCCCCTACCAGATAATATGATCTGCCTCTCTTTAGATAGGTTGCCTTTTCACTCTGGATAATCTTTTCATGCACAAAACTTTAAATTTTCATGAAATCCATCTATTTTTTTATTGCTTCTGCCTTTGGTGTCATGGCCAAATCTAATATAATGAAGCTTTTGTTCTGTTTTCTTTTAAGAGTTTTATAGGTTTATGCCTTACATTTACATCTTTGACGTATTTTGAGTTAAGTTTTGTACATTGTGTTAGGTAAGGGTCCAGCTTCATTCTTTTGCACATGGATATTCAGTTTTCCCAAAACCATTGTTGGAAAGACTGTTCTTTCCCCCATTGAATGATCTTAGCAGCCTCTTCTGAAATCATTCAGCCATGTATGTGATGGTTTATTTTGGGGTCTTGATTCTATTCCATTGCCCTGTCTGACTTTATGTTAGTGTCACTGTTTGTATTACTGCAGCTTTGTTGTATGCTTTTAAATCCGGATATGTGAGTCCTCCATCTTTGTTACTTTTTTTCATGATGGTTTTGGCTGTTTGGGTCCCCCTGAGAGTACATGTAAATTTTAGGATGAGTATTTCTATTTCTGTAAAGAACACCATTGAAATTTTGCTAGGGATTGCATAACTGTAGCTTGCTTTTGGTAGTATTAATGTTATCAATATTAAGTCTTGCAGTCTGTGAGCATGGGATGTGTTTCCATTTATTTATGTCTTTAATTTATTTCAGTGATATTTTGTAGTTTTCATTGTAGAAGGCTTTCACCTCCTTGGTTAATTCTTAAGCATTTTAGGGGTACCTGGCTGGTTCAGTCAGGGGTGTGCGCAGCTCTTGATTTCATGAGTTCAGGTCACATGTTGGGTGTAGAGAATACTTAAATAAAAACCTAAAAAAAAATTCTTAAGTATTTTGGTTTTTTTGATGCTATTGTAAATGGAATTGTTTTTGTAATTTCCTTTTCAGATCATTCATTATTAGTATACTAGAGATGCAGGTAATGTGAGCAGATGATATGATCTTATGTGTAGAAAACCCTAAATCTCAAGGGACCCAGAATAGCTAAAACCATCTTGAAATAAAATAACAAAGCTGGAGGACTCACACGTCTGTATTTAAAAACTTACTACAAAGTTTATGTTTGTAGGAATTTGTTCATTTCATCTTGTCTTATTTGTTGGTATATAGTTATCCATAATACTCTCATAATCCTTTTTATTTCTGTAGAATTGGTAGTAATGTCCCAGTTTCTATTCTGATTTTAGTAGTTTGAGTCTTCTCTCTTTTTTTCTTAGTTGACCTGCCTAGTTAAAGGTTTGTCTATTTTGTTGATCTTTTCAGAGAATCCCCCTTTTATTTATTTATTTATTTTTAAGGTTTTATTTATTTATTTGACAGAGACACAGCGAGAGAGGGAACACAAGCAAGGGCAGAGGGAGAGGGAGAAGCAGGCTTCCCACCAAGCAGGGATCCCAATGCAGGGCTCGATCCCAGGACCCTGGGATCATGACCTGAGCCAAAGGCAGACTCCAACAACTGAGCCACCCAAGCACCTTCAAAGAATCCCCTTTTGGCTGCATTAATTTTTTTCTGTTTTGCTATTCTCTATTTTGTGGATCTCTGTGTTGATCTTTATTGCCTTTCTTCTGGTAACCTTGGGTTTACTTTGTTCTTATTCTTTTCCCTTACGTTGTAACACTAAAAAGAAAAAAATTTATAGTTATAAATTTGCCCCCTTTGCACCACTTTTGCTGCATCCTATAAATTTTGGTATGTTGTGTTTTTGTTTTCATTGTTCTCAACTATTTTCTAATTTCCCTTGCCATTTATTCTTTGATACCTTAGTTGATTAAGACTGTTGTTTAATTTCCACGGATTTATGAATTTTCCTGTTTTGCTTCTCTTTTTGATTTTTAACTTCATCCCCCTGTGGTCAGAGAAAATACTTGATAGGAGATTTACCGTTTTAAATCTATTGACCTTTGATATTGTGGCCTAACATACAGTCTGTCTTGGAAAATGTCCTTTGTGCATATGAGAAGAATGTGATGGCTGTTGTTGGATAGAGTGTTTTGTAGGTCTTTTAGATCTAGTTGGTTTTGTATTTAGTCCTTTGTTTCCTCACTTACCTTCTGTCTGGCTATTCTATCCAATATTCAGAGTAAGGTATTGAAGTGTCCAACTGTAAATGTACAATATTCTGTCCCTTCAACTCTCTCAGTATTTTGCTTTATATATTTTCATGGTCTGTTATTAGACACATATATGAAATATGTGTAAGTATTTATAATGGCTATATCTTGCTGCATTGAACCTTTTATTAGTATATAATGTCCTTTGTCTTGTAAAACTTTCAATTCATAGCCAGTCTTGTCTGGTATTAGCATAGCCACCTTGCTCTCTCGGTTACTATTGCTATGGAATATCTATGTTCATTTTTTCATTTTCAGTCTGTTTGTGTCTCTGGATCTTAAGTTTCTTAGAGATAACATATAGTTGGATCTTGTGTTTCCAGTTAAATCCATTTAAAATAAGTATTGATTGGAAGGGACTTATTTCTCACAATTTGGTATTTGGCTTTTATATGCTTTATATCCATTTTTGCCCCTCATTTCCTGCATTACTGTCTTTTGTGTTTAGTTGATTTTTTTGTATTGGAACATCTAAATTCTTTTCTCATTTCCTTTTGCTATATTTTGTAGCTACCTTCTTTGTTTTTACCATGGGGATTACATAAACATACAAAAGTTATAACACTGAATTTATACCAGTTTAATAATATACAAAGATTCATTCCTTTTCCTTTATCAGTTCCATTTGTATTCCTTTTGGTTGTTGTCACAGAATTACATCTTTAACTTTGTATCCCCAGAAACAAACTAATAATTATTTTAAATGCATTAGTTTCTTTTTTAAATTTTTTATTATTTTAGATTTTATCTATTAGAGAGAGAGCACGAGAGGGGGAGGGTCAGAGGGAGAAGCAGACTCCCTGCTGAGCAGGGAGTCGGACATCAGATTTGATCCTGGGACTCCAGGATCATGACCACCCAGGTGCCCCAGTGCATTAGTTTCTTAAATCATGTGGAAAACAGTGTGGAGTTACAAGCCAAAATATAATGTGAGCTTTTAGACTAATTGCTTTATGTAAAAAAAAAAGTATTCATTTCATAAATCACATGGACAGAGTTACACATACTACTGCCTTTTATAATTGCCCATGTATTTACCTTTATTGAGATCGTTATTTTGTCATGCAGTTTTGATTTACTGTGTGCTAACCTTTCATTTTACCCTACAGGAATCCCTTGAGCATTTGGCGGGTCTAGTGGTAAAGAACTCTTTCATAGCTTTTATCTGGGAATATTTCAATTTCTTCCTCATTTTTGAAGAACAGTTTTGCCAGATATAGGAGTCTTGGTTGATAGTTTTTTTTTTTCTTTTAATACTTCAAGATGCCTTCTAGCCTCCCGTGTTTCTGATGAGAAATCTGTTAGTTTTATTGAGAATCCCCTGTATATTCTTTCTTAATTTTAGAATTAAACCAAAGATGGTTTATTTATATCAGAAGTCACATATGTATGTGACTGACTTCTTGAAACTCCTTAGTGATATCCTGCTGCTTTCAAGATTCACTCTTTGTCTTTTTAAAGTTTGATTATAATGTATCTCAGTTTGGGACTCTTGGAATTGGGAGAGCTTCTAAGGAGTTATATTCATGCTTTCATCAAATTTGAGACTTTTTGGCCATTATTTCTTTCTTCAAATATTCTCTCTGCCCCTTTGTCTCTTTCCTGCTTCTAGACTCCTCCCAGTGTGTATGTTTGGTCTGTTGATCTTGTCCTATAGGTGCCTTAAGCTCTGTTTATTTTTTGTTCTGTTCCTCAGACATAATAATTTCCATTGTTCTATCTTCAAGTTTGCGAATTCTTTCTTCTCCTTGCTCCAGTGTGGGTTTAAATGTGAGGGGGGTGGGGTGTGTGCCTGGGTGGCTCAGTTGGTTAGGTGTCCAACTCTTGGTTTCAGTTCAGGTCATGATCTCATGGCTTTGTGCTCAGCGGGGAATCTACGTGAGGATTCTCTCCCTCTGCCCCTCCTGCCAGTCATGTGCGTGTGTGCATGCTGTCTATCATAAATAAATAAATATCTAAAAAAAATGTGAGGTGGGGGGGGTGCATAGCTGGTACTGTGCTAAGAGCTCTAATTGACTGATACTAACCACAGTTCATCATCCACGGGAGGCCTGCTTCTCCCTCTCCCACTCCCTCTGCTTGTGTTCCCTCTCTAGCTGTGTCTCTGTCAAATAAAATCTTTAAAATAAAAAGAATTTATAACAAGCTTGGCTTGGTAATTGTGACAAATGATATTCTCTAGAACGACTATGGCTGTGGTTTTCTTTAGGATGAAAAATTGTTATTTAGTTAGTAAATAAGTGTATAGTTCTTTTTGGTATCATTCTTGATACTCTTTACATAGAATAATTTATATGTTTGACGATAGCTGATGATCACTGTTGTCAGACTTTGATTCATTAGTTTTCTCTATATATAGTAGTCTGTTGATCAAAAAGCAAACTCTTAACGTTGTATGTTATGTTTAGGCCATTTGTGTTTTCACATAAGTCCTAGTGAAACACAGGTAAATACTAACAGGATTAATAGTTATTGAAATGATAGCAAATAGGTAGTATTTGAAGTGTTTTATTATCACAAAGTATCAAATACAAATTTTTGCTTGGTAAAGTATTTGGACCTGTGATCTCTAGCTTAAGAACCTGGCTTTGAGAAAATCGAAGGTTTTGTTGCTTTAATGTTAACCTCATTGATGGCTACCTACCAGTATTAGAGTACAGAACAGTTTTTTGGGAGTGTTATGGATACTTTCTTCCTCATTAACCTTTTTTATATATTAATCTAATAATTTCCTGCCAGTGCACACATCATGTATTTGATAAGTGTCATCAATGAATATCACTATTTTTCACCCTTTCTTTGACAGAGGATGATGCAGTTTTCACCAGACAAGACAGCAGTCGCAGTGAAAAAGAGACCATGCAAGTGGCACATGAAACAGAGCCAGAATCGGGGGCTCAGCCTCGGCCTGCTGTATTATCTGGTTATTTTAAACAGTTTCAGAAGTCTTTACCACCTCGATTTCAGAGACAGCAGGTAACAGTAAAACATTTTATCATGTATGTGTGATCAACGAGGTTTCTTGTTCAGTAGTCTGAGAAGTAGTTTGACATGAAACCTAAAATACACAAAGCACAAAAATTTTCCCTGAAATTCTTTCCCTTTTTAATAAAAGATTGTTGATAATGGGTTTTACCATAAACTTTCTGTCATTTTTTTCCCCTCTGCCTCGTTTGTAGACACCGTCTTCCTTTCTAGGGTATTATTTCTGCAGTATAATTAGTGAGTAATTTCTTAAGGCGAAATGTCATGACTTATTTTTTGTTCTTTTGACTTACCATCTCTCACTGTTCAGTATCTTTTGAATTCTTTTCCCTGAAGGATTCAGAAAAGCCTGTTATTTTCTGATATGAGTGATACTGATTTATCACGTGGAACAAAAAGCTCAGGGTGTGGGGTCCTGCTTTTCCAGGAGCAGATGAAGCAGCAGCAGTGGCAGCAGCAGCAGCAGCAAGGCGTGCTTCCACAGACGGTGCCGTCGCAGCCGTCCGGCGGTGCCGTCCCTCCTCCGCCACACAGACCTCTCTACCAGCCCATGCAGCCTCACCCTCAGCACTTGGCTTCTATGGGTTTTGATCCAAGGTGGCTCATGATGCAGTCGTACATGGATCCCCGAATGATGTCAGGTAGACCTGCTATGGATATTCCACCCATTCATCCGGGTGAGTGGGAGCTGATGTTGTCTCATGGCTCACTGCAGTTGTGCAACCACCTGCCTCCCATTTTCACTCTTAAGTCCTTTAAGATGTATCATCTAGTAAGAACTCAAGTAGGGTGCCTAGATAATTTGTTTTAAGATTTTATTTATTTATTTGACAGAGAGAGTGCGTGTGCACAAGTGGGGAGCAGGGGTAGAGGGAGAGGGAGAAAGACAAGCAGACTCCCCACTCAGCGGGCACCCCAATGCAGGGCTCCATCCTAGGACCCTGAGATCATGACCTGAGCTGAAGTTGGATGCTTAACTGACTGAGCCCCCCAGGTGCCCTTAGATTTTTTATTTTTAAAGATTTTATTTATTTATTTTAGACAGCAAGTGAGCACACATGAATGGGAGGGGCAGAGGGACAGGGAGAGAGCATCTCAAGCAGATTTCTCAGTGAGCACAGAGTCTGACATGGGGCTCAGTCTCACGACCCTGAGATTAAGTGCTCGCTTCGGCAGCACATATACGACCCTGAGATTAAGACCAGGAGTCAGACACTTAACCAACTGCACCACCCAGGCACCCCAGGGTGCGTAGATGATTTTTATTTAAAAGATTTATCTATTTGAGAGAGAGAGCGTGCACACGCAGGCTTGGGGAGGGACAGAGGGTGAGGGAGAGAGAATCTCAAGCAGACTCCCCACTGAGCAGGGGACCTGATGCGGGGCTCAGTCTCACAATCCTGAAATCATGACCTGAGCCTAAATTAAGGGTCAGACGCTTAACTGACTGAGCCACCTAGGTGCCCCCAGAGTGCGTAGATTTTTAATCCAAAAAATTCTGTAACTTCCAGCACAGAGTAGTTAAATGCCATACACTGTATCATACATGTAACAATACCAAAACACTAGTTTTTTTCTGTTTTGTGTAAATATTTAAAAATTTTTTGAGTCTGAAAATACTTTGTTATCTGCTAAATTGTTTTCATTCTTTTAAGTGTTTAAGCATTTAAATTTTGTCCATATATTCTATATTCCAGCTTTTCAATTTTCTCTGCCAAATACTTGACGTTTTCACATAAGTTAGCTGAAAACAATCGCATTATCAGTGTTGTATGGAATCAGAATAAATCCAGATAATTCACTAACAAAATGGTATAGAGGAAAATTTAGGGGTGTTAAAAATATCAAGAATCATGTCTTAATATTTATACTGCAGTTTTAAAATTTAAGAGGCATAATTAATAGCATGGATCAACTAATTAAAATCTGTAGGAAATATTTTCTCTGGAAATCTATCACTGTTGGTATAATCCTCATTATGTTTTTAACATGCATAATTGCATCATACATGTTATTGATTTTTATAGGCATTGCATTTTTTTTCCTTTGAAAATAGGCTGCTGAGGGTGCCTGGGTGGCTCAGTCGTTAAGCGTCTGCCTTCGGCTCAGGTCATAATCCCAGGGTCATTTGATTGAGCCCCACATCGGGCTCCCTGCCTCTCCCTCTCTCACTCCCCCAGCTTGTATTCCTTCTCTCGCTGTGTCTCTATCAAATAAATGAATAAAATCTTTAAAAAAAATTTTTTTTTAATAAAAATAGGCTGCTGTTCGTGTGCTTTGCTTCCTTAATTCTTAAATCTATTTTTTTTTAAGATTTTATTTATTTATTTTAGAGAGAGAGCATGAGCAGGGAGAGGGGAAGAGGGAGAAGCAGGCTCCCTGCTGAGCAGGGAGTTTGATGTGGGGCTTGATCTGGGATCATGACTAGAGCCAAAGGCAGACGCTTAACTGAGCCACCCAGGCGCCCCCTCTTAAATCTACTTAATAGCAACAGTAAAAATTGTATTCACAGAAAAACTTGTGTAATTTTCATTGATCATTTCTTGAGTTCCTCACTTGGCAAAAAGTATTTCTTTAGCTCAAGTGTAGAATTCCAAATAGTAATTAATAACCCAGATTCTTTATGTGTATAATGATTGTTTTTCCCATCTTTTTCTCACCTTTTGTATAGGAATGATTCCTCCTAAGCCATTAATGAGAAGAGAACAGATGGAAGGATCACCAAACAGTTCTGAGTCATTTGAGCATATAGCACGATCTACAAGAGATCATGCAGTTTCCCTCCCTGAACCTCGTGTAATGTGGGGGTCAGATCCCTATCCCCATACAGAGCCTCAGCGGGCCACTACTCCCAAGGCAACAGAAGAACCTGAGGATGCAAGGTAATTATAAAAATTATGAATACAAATTGAATATGGTGGTAAAATGAAAACTACAGTGTCCCTGAAGATCATTCTGATTTAGGACTGAGTGACAAGTCTTATTTCCTCCCATTTAGTTTATGTCATTTCATTTTTGGACATGCTTTCTTTTTCTCTCATTCCTGTATTGATGGGGGCATTTTGTCACCTAGTTCTGTGCACTGAATTAAATACTGAAATTCAGTGTTGTATGTAAAATTGGCAGGTTTCTACTATTTGACATGTAGTCTAGCTTAAAGCAATGATACAATTTTTCCACTAATGAGAAATGGTAGACATTTGATTATCAGTACCTCATGGAAGTCTTCTAATGCCAAGGTAAAGGCAAATACTAATTTAGAGAGATAATTCGAAGTAGCAGACAGTTGGTGATCTGTAGTAATTTATAACCATAAACTTAGAACTTCTGCCCTTTTAAGGAGTGTATTTTGTAATCCTGATTCATCAGGGAAGATAGATCTACTCTAGTGTACTCTTTGATTATGGGTGGGAATTACTAGTCTTGATGGATTAAAAATTCACATCACCATGGCCTAAACTTCCTTTTATCTTAAGGAATGAATTTCATTTGTTTGTAATTGTAGGGAAAAAATAACGTGGCATCTACCGTCAATGAAATTTTGAGTGTTATAAGCATGGTGTTTTACAGTACATTTCTAGAAATTTTTCATCTTGTATAACTGAAACTTTATACCCACTGAGTAGCAAATAATTTTCCCATTCCTACTAGTCCCTGGCAATCACCATTCTACTTTATGCTTGGATGAGTTCGATTACATTATATATATATATATATATATAAGTGGAATCCTACAGTATTTGTCCTGTGATTATTCATTTCACATAGTATAATATTCTCATCCATCTGGTAGCATATAACAGTATTTTTTCTTTTTAATGTCTAAAAGGACATTGTATTTATGTATATACCATATTTAATCCATCTGTCAGTGGACACTGAGGGTTGTTTCCACCTCTCAGCTATTATGAATATTGCTGCACTAAACTTTTTAAGGAGATATAAAGATTAGAATCCTTTTTAAATGGTTTTTATGATTAGGATCTATTTGTGGTTTGTAATTAAAGGGATTATTTTGCTTTACACTTGTGAGAAAGAGTTTGTCTTGGTAGTTATGCTTCTGAATTCTCATTTTTTTAGGCCTGAAGCCCCAGTGGATCAGGAACAGATTACTGCTGCTTATCCTGTAGAACACGGTCAATTAGAGGTTCATCCAAAAGCAGACTTTGTCAGAGAATCAAGTGAGACAGAAGTACAAAAGTTTTTAAGCAGATCTGTGGAAGACATTAGATCTCACCATACTGACACAAACAGTCAGTCTGCTTGTTTTGATGTACCTGATCAAAAAACTGTATCCACTCCTCAAGAAGAGCGGATGTCAGCTGGAGAAAGTCAGCCTGCCCGGAAAAGAAGTGTTTCCCATGGATCTAACCATACTCAAAAATCAGAGGAGCAAAGAAATGACCCATCTGCAGGCATTCCTAAAGTAACCAGCAGATGCACTGATTCAAAGGACCCAGTAGAAAGGACAGAGGAAAAGCCAAAGAAGGATGGCTTTATACGATCTTCTGAGGGACCCAAACCTGAAAAACTGTATAAATCTAAATCAGAAACTCGTTGGGGCCCAAGGCCAAGCTCCAACAGAAGAGAAGAAGGTAATGATAGGCCTGTGAGAAGATCAGGTCCCATTAAAAAACCTATACTTAGGGATATGAAAGAGGAGCGTGAGCAGCGGAAGGAGAAGGAAGGGGAAAAGGGAGAAAAGGTCACTGAAAAAGTTGTAAAACCTGAAAAGACAGAAAAGAAAGATCCTCTTGCTCCAGTCCCACCACCTGCAGCACCGGTTCAGCCGCAATCAGTTCCACCACCACCTCAACCAGAACTGGAGAAATTACCTTCAACAGAAACTTCAACTGTGGTTCAAAAGCCACCTCAAGATGCTGAGAAGCCCTTGGAACCTTTAAGTAGTGTTGAGGTAGAGCCTGTGGCTAAAACTGTAAACCAGCAAACTGTCACAGCACCAGCAGTGAAAGAAGAAAAACAACCTGAGAAACTGGGTAGCAAAGATCTTGTTTTAGAGAGGCCTCGACCAGATTCAAGACCAGCAGTTAAAAAAGAATCCACTTTACCCCCTCGGACCTATTGGAAAGAAGCTAGAGATAGAGATTGGTTTCCAGATCAAGGATACAGAGGTCGAGGCCGGGGTGAATACTATTCCAGAGGCCGAAGCTATAGAGGTTCTTACGGAGGGCGTGGCCGGGGTGGGAGGGGGCACACTCGAGACTATCCTCAGTATAGAGACAATAAGCCACGGACAGAGCATGTGCCCTCAGGACCTCTTCGACAGCGAGAAGAAAGTGAAACACGAAGTGAGAGCTCTGATTTTGAAGTTGTTCCCAAAAGAAGACGACAGCGAGGTTCAGAGACTGACACAGACAGTGAAATTCATGAAAGTGCAAGTGATAAGGATAGTTTAAGCAAAGGTAAACTTCCCAAAAGAGAGGAAAGGTCTGAAAACAAAAAACCTATAAAGCCTCAGTCTTCTTTCAAGCCTGAAAATCACATCCGAATAGATAATAGACCTCTAGAAAAACCTTATGCGAGGGATGATGATAAATCTAAACCAGGCTTCCTTCCTAAGGGAGAGCCTACACGGCGAGGCAGAGGGGGAACATTCAGACGTGGTGGAAGGGATCCTGGAGGCCGGCCATCGCGCCCTTCCACCTTACGAAGACCTGCCTACAGGGACAATCAGTGGAACCCAAGGCAGGCAGAAGCTCCTAAGCCAGACGATGGAGAGCCACCAAGAAGACATGAGCAATTTATTCCTATACCAGTAGATAAGCGACCTCCAAAATTTGAGCGAAAATTTGACCCAGCTAGAGAGAGGCCCCGACGACAACGTCCTACCCGACCACCAAGGCAAGATAAGCCGCCTCGATTTAGACGTCTCAGAGAGAGGGAGGCCGCTTCCAAAACCAACGAGGTGGCAGTGCCCACAAATGGCACCGTTAATAATGTGGTTCAAGAACCGGTTAACCCTGCTGGGGATATTTCTGGGAATAAGACGCCAGACTTATCTAATCAGAACTCTTCAGATCAGGCAAATGAAGAATGGGAAACAGCTTCTGAAAGCAGTGATTTCAACGAGAGACGTGAGAGAGATGAAAAAAAAAATGCTGATTTGAATGCACAAGCAGTTACAAAGGCCGGAGAGAATGTTTTACCTCCAAAAAGGGAAATAGCAAAGAGAAGTTTTTCTAGCCAGAGGCCTGGCGTAGATCGCCAGAATCGGCGTGGCAACAGTGGTCCACCCAAATCCGGAAGGAATTTCTCAGGTCCTAGAAATGAAAGGAGAAGTGGTCCACCATCAAAAAGTGGGAAGCGAGGGTGAGTACTTTATTTTCGATATAATTGCATTCGTACCTGAAAGTTGAACTGAGCAAAGGAGCCAGTCTAGATAGAGGACCCAGACATTGTTTTCCCCTAAATTTTTTTGTCTGTTCTCAAAGTTAAGGGTGCTTGAACAAGAGAAGTTAATGGGTCTCAGGAGTCTTTGCCTCCTAAGTTACATTTTTCTAGAAATGTATATCTGTACATCTAGGGAGGGACCTGTACAGTGTCTTCCTTTTGGTAAGTCTTTTTTTTTTTTTGAAAGTCATCTTATTAATGATGAGCAGCCCTCCTTTCTTTTGGTTTCTCTTTGCAAAACTCTGGTGCTCATAGGTGTGCTCTGAGATTTAATACGTTTTAACCATATGCTTTATCACTCTGTACTGGTTGCTAGGAAGTGAATGTTGAACCTTAAGAATAAATTATATCTTCCTCGTGAGTTGCACACTACAGGGAATGATCCAGCTAGGTAGTGGCCCAGAACTGCCACCCAGGCCACCAGTAACATAAATACTGTTGGATTTATTTTAAAACAATTTTTCGAAACTGTGCTAAGCTTGGTCTGTTCTTTTAAATATTAAAATGTTGTTTATGGTAAATTATTAATTTCTTTAATATTAGGAAAAATTACAGTAGCAGTATGCCTAGTTTTTGTTCATTCTTTCATTTATTTGCCTAATTTTTAATAGGTTCTGGTACTTACTGCCTATATAAACTCTGCTTCCTTGCCAGTAAAATAGGGAGGAAATAATGGTACTTTTAAACTTGGTGAAGATTACGGATATATTTGTGACTACATAACATATCTGGTGTATAGTAAACAGTTATTATTATGGTTTGCCCTGGTTTTTGATCAAATTCCTGGGTTTGCAGCCTGAGCTGATAATTTATTCAGATAATATATTAATCTGCATTGGTTAGTTACAGTGTACTTAGCATTGCAGGTTACCACACCCATCAACGAAAATATTTTGGCTTTCTGATAACTTAGAAAAAAATTTAGGGAAATAATGTGACCAGTTGTGTTTCCTGAGTACCGTCTTAACACGGAATTTGAACCTCTCTTCAGAAGGCCAAAAGAATTAGGATGGCGTGTGTAGTTACAGTGCAGTTACCGCCTGTGATGAAATGCTGGTTTTGAGTAGTAACACTCGAGGAAATGTTGATTCTGGTTTTATGTAATGTAGATCTCAACAACTTAGCAAGACTCCTGTGCCATGTAGATAACAGCTTCGAACCTGCAGAAATAGCAGTTACTGGTTGTAATTGAAATGAGTCTTGAAAGAGTCCCATTTAGAAGAAATGATTTTATTCTTTAAATGTTCGAGCTCATGCTTTGTGTCAAGCACTTGGTAAGCTCTTATCTCAAGTGATACTGTCGGCTAAGATGAAAATGAATTTGTAAACCCATTTTCCAAGGTATATTTTCATAAATTAAAAAAATCCAAGAATAAAATTTGATAGGAAACAAAAACTCTGGAAATACATTGGTTTGTGAAGTGAATTATTTCCATATTAATGGTTTTTTGTATGCTTACGTTTATGTATCTGATTGATACACATAGTATAAACAGAATGCTTTTTAAATTTTTCATATGCTGCCCTGTTGTGGAAAAGATCCAGTAACAAATACTTGGGACTAGCTTGGATCACAGGCATTTTCTGCTCCAAACCATGTTGATTAGTTTATTTATACCATGACAGACAAACAGACACAATAAGAGCCTCCAGGGCACAATTGGAATTTTGGAGTTTAATTCCTGGAAAGAAAGTCCACCTCCTTTATTGGGAAACTCAATCTTAGTGAAGTTGTACTCAACAGAAGTCCCTAAAGCTTATTGGTTTTAGAGTCTTCTGTCCCACTGCTATTTCTTCTTAGATCAAACTTCAGAAATTGCCAGTAATTTTTCTTCGGTTCCATTATGTGGAAGTAATAGTAACTTGAATTATTGTTTTGTAGGCCATTTGATGACCAGTCTGCAGGCACAGCTGTTGTTGATCCTGTCAATGGCAGCTCTGCACACCACCAGGAAGGAACACCTAATGGTACAGGACAAAAGAACACCAAAGATTCCACAGGGAAAAAAAGAGAGGACCCCAAATCAGGCCCTAAAAAACCCAAAGAAAAAGTAGATGCACTATCACAGTTCGATCTCAACAATTATGCAAGTATGTCTTATATTCCTTTTATGTATGTATTATGTTACGTTTGAGTCGATATTATAATAAAGAAGTCATTAAAGAGGGAAGGAATTGGTCCTGCAAGGTCTAGATAGAGGCTGATTATGAATCACTAATTGATATAATGAACTAAAATAACACCAACTTTTAGCCCAGCCCTGAATGCTTGATAAAGTCCTTGTTAAAGATAATCTATAGGGTTTCACTATTCCTCATAAAAAAGAAAATTAACTGCTCCACCTTGCCAGACAGGTGTAGGGAAGCGTAGAAGACTAAGAGGATGCTTAGGTGTATCTCAGTGTATGCTTTATCTTCTGTGAAAGAAATGTTAACCTTAGACTTAGACCTTTGACAAAATTGGTATCTAAGATATGGTAAATAGAGCATAATAGAGTGGGAGACAGTGTTGCTCTGGATAAATACTTTCAGAAAGCCATGAAGTAATAGGATATGAAATGCAAAGGGTAACACATGCAATAAGAAAATATTTGTTGAAGAAGTTAACAAGGAATATCTATGAGAAGGCACTTACACATGTAAAAATGCACTGTTTGCCCATTCATTCAGATAGACTTAAGCTGGAAATACTGTGTAAAATTGAGATTTACTAAGGCCAGATCATATCAATGGGAAAGTTAGGTTAGGTACTACTATTCCAGTATTAAAAAATAAAGATGAGAATTTTCATCTTGTTAATGGTTATTTAAATATACAAAACTTGATTTGGGCCCAGGACCTTGGCATTATTGTTTCATTCTCAACATGTTGTCCCCAGACCGTCAGTATCACCTAGAAATATGTAAGAAATTCAGAATCTTGGCCCCTACCTCAGACCTACTGAATCAGAAACCCTTGGAGCAGTCTGTGTTTTAACAGAATTGTCCAGGTGATTCTGATGCACACAAATAGTTGAGAACTGTTGTTCTAGAATACCATTTTAGGATTCACATGGGAAAGAAATAATCTTAGCTTAATTGCATGTTTAAGAGTTTTTAATTAGATTATGTAGAGCAGTGGTTCTCAACAGGAGTGATTTTGTATCCCAGGCAACATTGGGCAGTCTCTGGAGACAGTTTTGATTGTCACAACGTGGGGCTGGGTGCTACTGACATATTAGTAGGTATAGGCCAGGGATGCTGCTAAACATCCTAGAGTGCACAGGATGAGCACCTCAAAATGCTGATAGTGCTGAAATTGGAAAGCCCTGATTTAGAGAACAGAGTAGACCCATAGGAAGGTTGGATGCCAGTCTTAATGGTGGTCCATAAAGAAAGGAGAGTCTAAACCCCACATTCCTAAAATGGCAAATGAAGATTACAAAAAGTCCACAAAACATGGCAGATTTGTCTTTCCAAATAACGGTTTACCAGTGTTCTTTCTTCGAAAGAACTTTTGGGGTAGGAAATTCCCAAAGTATTACATTATTGGATTAAGACATAAAAAAGGTAAGAACTCCCTTACAATTCTGAGTTGACAGTGGAAACTGAGGTATACATTTTAAAAACTCATTAAATGAGTTACTCATCTTTAGGTTGTTTTCCTAATACTCGTTAAGTAATTTCTTTTTAGCCCAAAATGTTAACGAAGCACCAGGCAAGACCAGGGTGTTGAAAACGAACAGAAAGTATCATTCAAATTTCTACAAATGTTGTGTGTAGTTGGGTAAACTAACTTCAAAACATTCTAAAGAAGCTCTTTGGAAGAAAATTGGAATAGTGGGTGATGGCATGGCTATGAAGAAAAGCTTTAAACACACACACTTTTTAGTCAAAGTGGAAGACTGAGATGAACTTAGAAATATGAAGAGGTTTCATTACCACTGTGAAGTGATGGAGTACATGGCATCCATTGAAATGTTTGACCTTTCATTGAAATGAGCATTGCTCCTTAAGCCATATGTAGAGCTATCATAGATGAAACAGAACCGATGAGGCTTTTGTTAGAAAAACAGAGTAACACGGAGCGCCTGGCTAGCTCAGTTGGTGGAGCATGCAACTCTTGGGGTTTTCAGTTTGAGCTTCACATTGGGTGTAGAGGTCAATTAAATAAGTATTTTTTTAAAAGAAAAGAACAGAATAACAGTAATAGGTTTTTTTGGTTTTTTTGTTTTGTTTTTAAGATTTTATTTATTTGAGAGAGAATGAGAGAGAGAGAGAGCATGAGAGGGAAGAGGGTCAGGGAGAAGCAGACTCCCTGCTGAGCAGGGAGCCCGATGTGGGACTCGATCCCGGGACTCCAGGATCATGACCTGAGCCGAAGGCAGTCGTTTAACCAACTGAGCCACCCAGGCGCCCTAACAGTAATAGGTTTTTAAAGAGTGGAAGCCAGGGGCGCCTGGCTGGCTCAGTCAGTTAAGCATCTGACTCTTGATTTTGGCTCAGATCATGATCTCAGGGTCCTGAGATTAAACCTCTTGTGGGGCTCCATACTCAGTGCAGTGTCTCTCTCCCTCCCCCCTCCCCCTGCTCGCACACACGCGTGCACGCTCGCTCTCTCATAAATAAATAAAATCTTTTTTAAAAAGGAGTGGAAGCCAGTTTTAATATTTATGATTTGTTTTCCTAAATGCACATTTTTAGCTATTCAAAGAGCAATGTTTTCAGGTGGATTCCCTGTAAACCACTCCCTAATAATACTCTCTTGCCATCCCTCACAAGTTATCACCATCCTGAGTTATATGTATATGGATCATTCCCAAGCAAATAACTATTTTTATTGTGTGTTCACCAATTAAAACATACATTATTTGCAAAATTAAAATAATTTATCTGAATTGCCTCACCCTTTTCTTATATTTATTTTGGAAACATTATACCTGCAACCATAAGTCACATTGCCTAAACTATTTTAGTTCTTTTAAATATTAAATTTAAGGGATCTAGATTTCTTTCACTCACTGGGATGTATGATTTTAAGAAGATAGCCTGAATATGTTAGTTGGACAGTGAGTTGAAGATACATCTTGAGTTATTCATCAGCTAGGTTATTATGACGTATGTACATCTCTTCCACTTTACGTTCACATAGAACTGTCACATATTTTTCTTTCTTTCTTTTTTTTTTTAACAACTACATATTGTAGACAAATGGTCTACATAGAATAGTCATTTAGAGTCATAAGACCGGCTTGACTATTCACCAGCTCACCTTTAGCATATTGGCTTCTCAGAGTTTATTTCATCCTTAAAAAGGGGGAACAATAGTAATATTCACCTCTTAGAATGGTTACATGCAAATGAAATAAAGTGCTGTTCAGATCTTTATAGCACAATACAGATCTGAGGCTGGGAAAGTAGAGGTTAAGGAATTTGACTAAGATAGTAGGATGATACTGAGTGATGTTTTGTTTTGTTTTTTGATACTGTTTTACAAGACATCACTGCTATGTTAATGAAGAAAAAAAGGTGTATATCATTCAGAGCACTTCAGAAAGTCAAAAGACTTTCTTTAAGCTTGTTTATGAAATCTTTTTGTATGTCTCTGCATTCTTTTCAAATCTTACTAATAAATGGCCATTGTGTGGTATGGGAATTAGGTTATACTGTGAGTTATAAGAACTAGATTTTTGTCTTGTCTTTTTTTTTTTTTTTTTTAATCACTACTGGACTAAACATTTCTATTTACCTTTTCAAGATTGAAAAAATATATATCATTTTAAATCTTCCCATACCCATAGGTGTTGTTATAATTGACGACCATCCTGAAGTAACAGTAGTGGAAGACCCCCAGTCAAATTTGAATGATGACGGTTTTACTGAGGTGGTTTCCAAAAAACAACAAAAACGTTTACAGGATGAAGAACGTCGAAAGAAGGAAGAACAAATCATACAGGTGAGTGTTACGTTTGTTGCTAGTTATTTGTTGTGCAGAATGTATTAACAAGTGGTTAAGGTTTCTATCTATAATGTCAAGGCTGCATTTATTCAAGTGTTCAGAATGATTTTCACAACTTTAAGCTTTTTACCCAGAATTGAGGTGAATTTTAAATAGAACATAGTCACTGTAATAGCTCACCATGTGCCTGAGTGTAGACCGTATTCACTTTAAATCAAAAAGATTTCATGTTTCAGTACTGGTCATCTTATTTATCCCATCTTACTTCATGGCAGAGGTAGAGTTAATTTTAAGTTATCTTGGAAATCTAATGAATACAACTGCCATGATCTAATAAATTGCAGATTCTTCACCTATAAAGGTTTTGATTATAATCTAAATTAGTTCATTTAAACACACAAAATGAATCAAGATTAGTTATTCCATTTAAATCAACCCAAACACCCATTATGCTAAATGCGGACACAGGATAAAAATAAGTAAAACACATTGATCATAGTGATAACAAGCTCTAACAGGTGAGAAGCCTCAAAAACAAAGAAACACTGTAAAAATCTTACATGAGCGGTAATACTAAGTTCAAACAAATATAGAGCATGGGACTAGATATTTTTAGAAGTCATTCATTGATTTGTCTACTCATTTATTTTGGAAGGTAAAAATAGTGCATAAATCCTATATAGCATAACACCCACAGATTAATGTTTCTGTGGTAAACATGAGTGAAGTTGATAAATTGCTTTTTGTCAGATTTTGTTGCCAAATGAATTCATTGAAAAATTCCTTAATTTTTTGAATTTTAGAATTAGGGAAGAGAGATTGTGGAACCATTTATCAAGAATGTATAATACATTTAAGTCTTTTTTCCCCTTTAGCATCTTTGCTTTTCATAATTTAAAATCTCCTTAGCAGCCTTGATGTTTTTGCTCTGTTGAGTGCCTATTTTGAAAAGTAAAGGAGCTAAATTAGTAGATCTTGTCAGAGACTGTGTTCATGAACTGTACTTTCAGTTACATTATTGACAAAAATGGTTCCTACCAATTTTTTAGGTCTGGAACAAAAAGAATGCAAATGAGAAAGGAAGAAGTCAGACTTCTAAGCTTCCTCCACGGTTTGCCAAAAAACAGGCTACAGGGACCCAGCAAGCACAGGCTCCAGCTCCAGCTCCAGCCTCGGTTCCAGGTCCAGCCTCAACCCCAGTCCCAGTTCCAGCCTCAGCCCCAGCTCCAGTCCTAACCTCAGCCTCAGCTCCACTCCCAGCCTCAGCCTCAACTCCAGTTGCACCCTCCACCTCAGCTGCAGCCTCAGTCTCTTCGTCTTCAGCTCCAGCTCCAACCCCCATCCTTGCCTCAGCTTCATCCCCAGCCTCTGTCCCCATCCTTGCCTCAGCCTCAATTCCCATCCTTGCTTCAGCCCTAGCCCCAGCTTCAGCTTCAACTCCAGCCCCAGCCACCTCAGCCCCAGTAGCCCCCGCCTCAGCCCCAGCTGCCCCAGCCCCAGCCCCTACCCTAGTCCCTGCCCCGGCTTCAGCCCCGGCACTGGTCCCAGTCCCCACTCCAGCCCCCAGTGCACCATCCCAGACTCAGGGACAGACTCATAAACCAGTCCAGAGTCCGCTACAAACTACAACACAGTCTTCAAAACAGCCACCACCTTCAATTAGACTGCCTTCAGCTCAGACACCTAATGGCACAGATTATGTAGCCACAGGAAAGTCCATCCAGACCTCACAGTCACATGGCACACTTACAGCTGAATTATGGGATAACAAGGTGGCCCCACCAGCTGTGCTGAATGACATTTCAAAGAAATGTAAGTTCAACAGAGAAGTGAAGGATGGGGTCTGGCGTGAGAATGTTGGGGTTTGTTTTCAGTTTTATTTGTATACTCAGTATGTTTTTTCCTAACCACCTCCTTTTTCTTAGTAAGAAACAGTAATAGTAATTTTTTTCTTAGCTTCCTTTCTTAAAACCTTTGTTTCTTGTGTTACGATTTTAATGGCATATTTTATGGGCATGGTTTTGTGTTGATTAAAAAAATACACAATGTTTGGGGGGGAGCTTATATTTATTTTGGTATGCTGAAATCTCTACGTGTATTGTGAAAATCTTTGTTTTATTGTCTAGCTGCCATTAAAAGAAAAGATAAAGTACATCAGGGATCATTATCCTCTGAATTTTAATGGTTCCATTTCCCATGACTTCTTTTTTTCAGTAGGTCCCATTAGTCCACCACAGCCACCTTCAGTCAGTGCGTGGAATAAGCCGCTAACATCGTTTGGATCAGCTACTTCATCAGAGGTAGGAATAGACTTAATAATGGCCTTAGCAGGGTTAGTGTAGCAGTTCCCTTAACATAGTTCCCAAACTTGAATGGGCATCACAATCACCTTGGGCGGCTTATTAAAATAAAATAGATTGCTGAGACTCGTGCCCAGAGTTTCTGTCTCATTAGGTCTGATTGAGGGCAGAGTATGTTTCTAACGGGTTCCCAAGTGATACTGCTGCTGGATCTCTATGTTCATAGGCTGCTTCTCACCTTTAGACATAATAAGGTTAGCATTTTTTAAATTAAGTCTCAATAAAAGTCCTTTTATACAGAGGATATAAGTGCAGTTACTAGTTTTTCAACTTTCTACCATGTCTTTAGCCTGAAATAATAAGGCAGTATAATTACCTAGAAGCAGAGTTTACAGGAGGTTCAACATAATTTCTCAAATGTGCAGTATTAGTAAATGACAACTTAAGTCAGCAGTTTTTCACTTACTCATTGAACAAAAATTCCTTGAGTGTAATATACCAGGCAGTTTTCTAACCCATGGGCTTACAAAACAGGGAGACAGTGTGATAAAAATGGACAAAAAGCCCTGCAGTCAGGGGGCTTCCATTGTAAATGGGGAGGGGGGACCACTAATGTATACCAGATAGTATGTGGTAGATAGCTAGTGGACCACTAATATATACCAGATGTATGTTAAATGGTGATCAGTGCTAAGGAGAAAAGCAAAGTACAGAAGGTGCATAAGAAATTTCTCAAGGAATCTGGAGACAATTTAAAATAGGTTGGCCAAAATGTGCCCCTTAGGTGACGTTTGAGTTAAAGACTTAGAGGTGATAAGAGAGCATGCTATTGAAATTTCTGAGGAAAAGTGAAATCTTGGTTCAGAGAATAGCAAATACAAAAGCCCCCAGAGAGGGGCATGGCTGGTGTGTTTGAGGAAGATCAGGGAGGTCTGCATGGCTCTAGTGAAGTTAAGGGATGGAGAGACAACAGATGAAGCTAGAAAGATAACAGAGGACAGACCCTACTGGGCCTTGGGGAGATGTAGGAAGACAATAGATAGTGTTGAGCAAAAGAATAACAGGACCTGACTTTTTCTTAGAAGATGATTTTGAGTAGTTAAGACAAGTCTGTGAAGGGCAAAGAGTAGAAGTTAGGATGCTGTCATAAATCAAATGATGGTAACTTAGACCAGAGAAATGGCATTGATGATGATAAAGAATGGTTCGTTTCTACTTGAAGATTTGAAGATAGAGCCGACAGATACTGAAGGATTAAACATAGTATGTGAAAAAGAATGAGATTTACCTCCAAAGTTTTTGACTTGAGCAACAAGAGGTATAGAGTTGCCTCAGTTGTGATTGGAAGCTATAACATGGGATCCACATTGGGGGAAAATATAAGGGAGTTTGGTCTAGGGCATGTTAGATTTAGGGTGTCTGTTACACATCTAAGCGGAGCTGTTGGGTAGGTTGTGAGGTGGAAGAGTCTAGAGTTCACAGGAGATAATCTAGTTTGGAGACCTGAATTTCACAGCCATTAATTAGATGGTGCTTAAAATGAATGAGTTGAATGAGACCACCAAGGGAGAATGAGTTCTGAGAGTGGTTAGAAAAGAGAAGAGAATCAGAAGCTAAGTCCTAAGGTTTTCCCTCTCGGGGATGTGGGGGATGGAAAGTGTCCTCAAATCTCAGTGAAAGGTGAGTTGAAAGGAGGAGGGATAAATTGTGTCCGATGCTGCTGGGTGGTCAAATAAGTTAGGCCTGAGAATTGGAGCTAATGACATGGTGGTCACTGGTGATTTTGACAAGAACAGTGTCAGTGGGGCAGTAGGTACAGAAGCCTGGTTAGAGTGAATTTAAGAGAAAGTGGGAGGAAAGGTGCATTTAGAGAACTTAAGAGTAAGTAGGTTTGCTCTAAAGGGAGAGCAGAGACATGTGACAATAGATAATAAAGGTACAATTTTTTAAAAATTTAAAGATTTCTTTAAAGAAGTCTTCCTGCTGCCCCAACGCCCACTGTAGCTTTTTGACTTAGGTCTGGAGAAGACTTCATCATCTGTTTTAAAAGTTCTACAGAGATCTCAAGTGAAATATGGAATCACTGCATTCAGTATTTAGGATCCTCGATTTAATCATTTTTCTTCTGCCTGTTGGTATTGACATTAGGATTAATCATAGCATTTCTTACATAGATATTTCATGCTAATATGAAGGACAAAGTGGAAAGTTTGTTTCTTTTGTTTTGGGTGAGTGCACTGGATTTAATGAGTTTATTAAAACGTCTGGTCCCAGTCTTTTAAATTGACATTCAGTGCAGGAATAATTTCTCAGCACTCTAAGCTGCAAGATTTCTCTTGGGGACGTTCTACTACAGGTTTGCAATACTGAAAGAATGCTTACATCTGCCTTCAGCCAGTTGAAAGAGGAAGATACTTTGGTAGTATCTCATTTTTTTCACACACATCTTTCTTCATCCTCTTTGTGTTCTTTATGTTTTCTGGATAAAATGTGATTTTTTTGGTGGACGTTCATTGCACATGATTTTGGAATATTGCCTCGTGGTGAACTTTTGAGCTAGCAAAGTTGTATTTCACTTTTAATTTATTTCAAAGGATGGAAAGTATTCCTTAATGGGACTTCCTGAATTACTCTAGTGAAGTACAGTTCTTAATGATTATTTTGTTCAATGCTATGAATGTTAGATACACTGAGTAGTCTCACAAAGATTGATAATATGATCTAAGCTTTATTATCCTTTCTTGTATTATATATATTTTGTGCACATTTTTTTGTTTCAAAGGATATGATATTTTCCTAAAACATTCTCTAATAGTTCTCTTAACTGTCCATTTATTTTTGAATTTCATTAAATTATTTATAACTTCTTCATTGTTTCTGTACATAGTAGATTTCAGTGATTACTGTTTGACTTTTCTAATACTAACTACATTTATACTGAACTAACTATAGAATTTCAGCATTGACTAAAGCAAACAGATTTTTATTCTAAATTACATCAATAATGTTTGCCTGTATTTGAAAGAGAATGTTCAGATACTAAAAATAAATCTGGGGGCGCCTGGGTGGCTCAGTCGTTAAGTGTCTGCCTTCGGCTCAGGTCATGATCCCAGGGGCCTGGGATTGAGCCCCGCATCAGGCTCCCTGCTCCACGGGAGGCCTGCTTCTCCCTCTCCCACTCCCCCTGCTTGTGTTCCCTCTCTCACTGTGTCCCTCTCTGTCAAATGAATAAATAAAATCTTAAAAAAATAAAAATAAATAAATCTGAATGACATGCCCTGTTCATAATGTTGACATTGTTAACACTGTTAAATGTTAACAGTAACCTTACGCAGTAATTGATACACAGAGTTCAGGGATGCTGAAACTGATGTGAAGTAATGATTTAATTATAAGACCAAAGCCTGAAGTTGAACTTTGTCCCAAGTTTTGTCTATTTATTTCTGGAAATGTTAAGTAATTGTTATAAACATCTCTGGCTTATAAAACCGTGTGTTGTCTAGCTTTCTATTTGTTCATCTTCTACTGCTCCTAATACCTGCCATGTTCCAGCCTCACTAGCCTTTTTTTTTTTTATTCTTAACCTTTACACTAGGTGTTTGCTCTGCCAGAAACATTTCCCGCTGATTTTGTCTTTTACATTGAGTTTCAGTGTGACCTCCTCAGGACCTTTTTCTGTCTACCAGTCTAAAGTGGCTTAACCATATTTTGATTTTTGCATGTCCCTCATCAGATTTTCTAGTTGTTCATTTTCTCCATTCACTGTAATGCAGCTTCTGCAAGTTAAGATTCTTAGAGTCTCTCTGGATCAGTGCCTAGCACAAAGAAGATTCCACATAAATTAACAGTTTAATTGGATTCCTAAGGTGTGTGCGCTTTATTACCAATCACAGAGTATTTTACTTGACATTGTTTCATTTTATTTCCAGGCATACTTTTTTAAAAGTGGGTAACACTGGTGTTGCTGTCTTTCTTCTTTCCCTCACTCATTCATCTGTTTATTTGTTGCTGGTGCTATCTTTGTGTGTTTGTTGCTTTTACATTTGTTTTAAAGGAGCAAATAACTTGAGGCTATGATTTGCTCATAGTAAAACTCATGACACCTAAAGCCAGGACTTTAAAAACTTAAGTCTTGGGTGCCTTGGTGGCTCAGTCAGTTGAGCATCTGATTCTTGATTTCGGCTCAGGTGGTGATCTCAGGGTCCTGGGATCAAGCTCCTCACTGGGCTCCATGCTCAGCTCAGAGTCAGCGTCTCTCCTTCTCCCTCTCCCTTGGCCGCTCCCCCCACTCCTGTTTCCATGCACGCGTGGTCTGTCTCTCTCAAATAAATAAATCTTCAAAAATAAATAAATAAATAAAAACTTTAGTCTTAGTTTCCATTTTATTCCTTTTTAATACAGATCGGTAGTGGCTAAAGGAAAGTTTCTCAAAACATGATCAATATCAGTTAATACATAGATCGCTTTCAAACTTCCTTCCATTGTACTTTTGAAATATGTGCTACTACATACATCATTCGGTCATATTTGACCTCTGTTTGCTTGGATAAGCAAGTTTGAAAATATTCTCTTCCTAGGGAACAAAGAATGGTCAAGAAAGTGGAGTTGAAATTGGAATTGACACAATTCAGTTTGGTGCTCCAGCTTCAAATGGGAATGAAAATGAAATTGTGCCTGTACTTTCGGAAAAAACTACTGACAAGATACCCGAACCTAAAGAACAACGGCAGAAGCAGCCACGGGCAGGCCCTATCAAAGCCCAGAAGGTAAATTATAATTCATATTCCAGATAGAACTGTATGAAAGCCACTAACACTTTAATGGGAGAATCTAGTAATGGTTGTGAAATTGAATTTAGTTTTCAGTGAATGTCTTTGATCATGATACCCTTTTGTCATAAACATTGAATTTTTAGCTTCCAGATTTGAGTCCACTAGAAAATAAAGAACATAAACCAGGTCCTATTGGAAAAGAACGTTCATTAAAAAATAGAAAAGTAAAAGATGCCCAACAGGTGGAGCCAGAAGGTCAAGAGAAACCAAGCCCCGCTACAGTCAGAAGTTCAGATCCTGTGACAACAAAGGAAACCAAAGCAGTTGCGGAAATGTCTACTGAAATAGGAGCGATGATTTCCGTGTCGTCCACGGAATACGGCGCTAACGTGAAGGTAGGCAACATGCGGTGGTGATGCAGACCGTGTCGAAAATGAGTGAGGAAAACAGTGATGATACTTGTTTTTTCTGTTCTTTTTCTTTTATTTTGGCTTGAGGCATATAATTCTGTAAACCATCTGGGTTATTATTTCTACAGGGAATATTTTATTTCATCGTATGCATTTGTGATCTAAAGAAATTCCTTACAGTAAGTTATTTCTTTATGTGGAAATCTCAATTCTAGACTGTTGAGTAGTTTGAGGTGAAAAATGAGTACATTAGATTAGAATGCTTTTTGCTGGGTTTACAGGCTTTTAAAGGATTGCTCTAGATTTTTATTTTGTTAATGGAGTTACAGTGGCACCTTATCTTGCCCACTAGTAAGATTTTGAAGTCAGGAACTAAGTCACATTAAATTTTCAGTAACTCCAGTATAGGCAGTTTTCTTCCGAGTTGGAATAGATCATTGTTTCATTGGTTGAGCACCAGAGGAAATAACTAACTTGAATTTAGGAACCATCTTTAAAAATACAATTATTAAGGCAAGATGCCAGGAAACAGAGTGACTTATATGGACTCACATTTGTGGGAATAGCAAAATTTATATCTGCCACTTTGTGTTCACTCTGGTACATATTGGGAAGAAAGGTAAGTGGGAACTTTTGTGTTATTTGTATATTTTTCTCTCTTAATTGCTATACAGTCAGTATATGTAAATAAAAACTCTTATGATCCACCTCTACCATATTTAAAGAAGAGGTTCATGATGATAAACAAGTTTATCCTAAAACCTAATTGCAACAACTAAAATCTTGACATAATCAGTAGTTGAAAGTAAGCTATAGATTATGAGAACCACACAGTTCTTTTAGTAACCCACAGAAATAAATAGTACTGTTGGCAACTTCCTAGTACTGTGCATGCATTTAAATTATTAACAATTTTTTAGTTGAATTATAGTTGACATGTAATATAGAAATGCATTTTTAAAAAATGTACAGGACCTGGCAATAGTTGAAATGTTACCACTTCCGTGGTGAGTCCACATTTGTTTTATCACAGTATTAGTCTTTAAGATTTGAGTGACTTGAGTCTTAAGATCTGCTCTCCTCTCCTGCTTTCCTCCAAAACAACTTTACAACTGTTAGGCTGCCATTAGAAAATGAGTTATTAATTTAGTCTACAACGTATTTTTTTTTCTATTACTACTCCACAGGAGTCTGTAACAGACTATACTACACCTTCTTCTTCTCTGCCTAACACTGTGGCTACTAATAATGCAAAGATGGAGGATACTTTGGTTAATAATGTAAGTAATCAACCTCAAATGTGGAAAGTGTGGTTAGGAACCTGGCTATTGTTATCTAATACATAGTGTGTGACCAGTGTTTAATTCTTGTCTGGGAAAGGGTTGTAGTGAATTTGCATTTTGGAGCACTAATAATTAGCAAAAATAGTCAAAACTTAGGCTCAGTTTCATAAGTACTAATCCTGTTAACCTGGATCTGGTAAGAATTTTTGTTCTTCCTTCTACATTCAGCAAGTTCAGTAATTTATTTGGTTGGTGATTTTGTTCTTAAACCTTTTTACAATGCAGTGAAAGCTCGCTCAAAACAAAAAGGCAATCAGGGTGTTACCAAGAATTCAGGGGTTTCTTTTTAAACTTGAAATTTTTTTTTTTTTTTTTTTTTTGCTGTACCTTAGCAACAATCCTGTAGTGAAGTTTGAGCTGTAATGTTTATGTAAGTACTTCAGAAACTCTTAAATGCTGTGTTAAAAAGTGGTAGTAAGTCATGTAAATTTTTAGGCTGTAGTTTTCCAGTACAGCTATGTTATAATTCAGGATTACGTTAAGGCAGTACAGTCCATCATTTTGCCTAGTTCATTGACTGACAGGTGAAAAAATTGTAAACCCAGACAAGTTAGGTAACCCCCTGTAGAAAAGCATTTTAGAAGTCACATGTATGACCCTTGTTTCGGAGGGCAGGTGTGGTAGAAATTTGGTCAGCTGCTCTCTTTTTTAAACACAGCTCTCTATAATGAGCAAAGGCTCATTCTTATCAAAAATCTCCTTCACAGATATATTTAAAGGTTTCTCACAAAGGGTTTTAACTCTGGCATTTTAAGAATAAAAATTGTATGCCTTACAGTATTTTTCCTATGCTGTCTATTCTTCTTTCTAGCATCAAGTATAGAATTGTAGAGAGGCAAGATGCATTAGGGATCATTTAATCCAACTTCGATAGTCGGGCTGTAGAGCTTGAGGAAAAGAGAAAGAAGCGACTGTGTCACACATTTTCTCTTTGTGGCAGGAGAGCTTTGTAGGAGCCAATTACTATGATTTCTCCAGCTTTCTGATGTAGTAGAACTTCACTTGATGTGCCAGATCCTTTTCCCCTGGCCTTTTGGAGGAAGTCTTACATTTATTTAACTTCCTTTAAGAAGTAATGGGAAATTTGGGAAGGACAGAAAGACTCCCTGTCAGTGGCACTATGTCATTTACCAAATATGGAATCAATAATGTGTCAATAAAGTTTAATTTTACTTAAATTGTGTCTTTTCTCATTTAAAAAATATAGAGTATATTTCTTAGATGTCACTTTTTCAAGAAAGCATGCCAGATTACCCTCTAAAAATGTGATTTCTGAAATACGAGTAAGGAAGGAAAGATTATTCTCAGAACACTTATATGTCACTGGAAATATCCATATTGAGTGTTTTAATGGTTTTCTGTGTGATCTTATTAAAATGTAATACGACTCGTGCATGCAGGACAACTGAAGGGGAGAGACCCAGTCTTGTATCTAAGCAAACAGTCTACATTTGATTTTTAGCTGTGTATCCAGAGCATGTTTGAAAACAGAAACATCCATTTTGGGTCAGGGAGCATTACAAATGGTCATCAGTTTGGAATGATTTCACAGTATTGCATTTTCTGCCGAGTATGGTGGTGATTCTGAACTTGCCTAATGTGTTAAAAACAACTGTCCTGCATGGGAAAAATTTTAGGACCTTTTGAAATGCTCCTTTCTCCTTAGTGTGGTTGAGGGTTCCATTTTATGCATAGAACTTTTATCTTTTGAAAAAATTATTCTTGGTAAGACTCCCTTTATCAAAGCTTAATCTACTTTTTCAGGATTTTTTAGCTGGTTATTTATTGCTTAGTGTTACCTAATAACGACAATCATTTTGAATCTTGAGTGTCTTAAAGATTTAAATGCAGGTGGTATTTTTGATTATTCCTGGCACAGCTATTTTAAAGATTTATATTTAGTCATCTCCATTAAGTAGTGCATAGTATTATCAATCTCTGTTAGATACTCCATAGTACCACAAAGTGATTATCTTAAAACCTCCAAGTATCTCAGTCATTTTCTCTGAATAAATGAACCATTAAAATCAGTCATACGGTAGTACATAATAAAATTTTCAAGATCCAGAGACTTAAAGGAAAAAAGAGATATGGCTAATGAGTTTCTAATATCTTCACATTTCCAAAAATATTTACCATAATCATGTTAAAACTATAGTGAAGCAATTTGTTTAATGTAACAGGGTGGTGGTGATATTCCGTACTTTCCTCCCGATTTTACTTTTATTCTTGAGTCTAGTTATAAGAATGTTGACTATAGGGGCGCCTGGGTGGCTCAATCGTTAAGCGTCTGCCTTCGGCTCGGGTCATGATCCCAGGGTCCTGGGATCGAGCCCCTCGTTGGGCTCCCTGCTCCGCAGGAAGCCTTCTTCTCCCTCTCCCACTCCCCCTGCTTGTGTTCCCTCTCTCACAGTGTCTCTCCCTGTTAAATACATAAATAAAATCTTTAAAAAAAAAATGACTATACTGCAGGATAGAAGTTAATTTCTTAATGTTTACAGTATCATTTTAAATGCTTCTCATAGCATCTATGGATCCCTTCAAGGTGGAAATTATATTCCTTAGAGCTTTGCTACACAGTGTATGGTCCACTGACCAGCAACATCACTGCATTTGAAGTGCACAATTTCAGGCCTTACCCCAGACCAACTGACCAGCCTCTGCACTTTAATAACATCCCCAGGTGACTGTTGTACACATTAAAATACATGAGGTACTGCCTTCAAGTATGTACCTTATATTTGGGACAGATTCTTTTTCTGTAATTATATGCATTAAAAAAGCAGATAGTATTTCTCTTAGATGTCCAGAATTATCAATTAATGCAAACACAATGTATCTCTAATCAGATACTCCTTTTGGCTCTGAAGAAAAATAAACACCCTAAGAAAGAGTACATTAGCATTATCTGTAATGGGGCTTTTGTAGCCGACTTAAATTATGATATGTGTTGCCTTCCTTTTCAGGTGCCCTTGCCCAACACCCTCCCCCTCCCTAAGAGGGAGACTATACAACAGAGCTCCAGCCTAACTTCAGCTCCTCCCACTACTTTCAGCCTCACCTTCAAGGTATGTACAACAACCTTCTCTAAAGGTCCTTGATGCATGCTAGGGTACATAAGTTAAAAATACTCTTTTGGTATTTTTATTCATTTTGTATGGTAAGCAGCAATACTAAGCTGAGAAAATAGAGTTATGCCAAATTATACCTTAAAATTTTATTAACTTCTAATACCACTTTAAAGGGAGGCCTATTATGCTTGTGAATTTTGTCTTAAAAATACAGGAAAGCATTTATATTTCATGTTTATATAGAGACTTTGATTTTTGAGTATATTAGTTGTGTATAGAACCAACTGGCTTGGTGTGTTGCGTTTTTTTTGGTTTTGTTTTGTTTTTTTATATCCTATGTTCCCATAACGGTAAGACTGCTGATTTTCTGTCTTTCCTGTAAACTGTGTGAAGTGAATGAATGCACTGTAATAATTAGAATATTTTATGAAGAGGTAATTTATTAATACAAGTGATTTTGATTTGATTTTTGTTGGATAATTTTTTAAAAAGAGGGCAAAAGAGATTATAGACATTTTTTAATATCAAAAAATAAGCCTTTTTTTAATCTCCTATTGTGTTTATAATACTGAGCTATGTTACTAATGCTTTTTTTACAGTTATTTGAGAGAATTTTAAGTCAGTTGTTCATCTCCAGATTAGTCAGTGGTTAAAAAAAGGGACATGAAATTAAGTGAAGATGTTTTTAAAGTACATATATTTATCCCATTTTTGGTGTTTGTTTGGTTTTATAATCTGGGCAACTATTTAACCTCAAACCTCTATAGCAGAACTTCCTAATGCTGCTCTATTGGTTGACAGGGAATCTTTGATGGTCTTCACAAGAGGGGGAACCTTGCTGGCCAGTGTTCATTTCTAGAAGTTTAAAAGTAAAATTTTATGAGACAACCATTTCTGCTTTGTGTCAGCCCCCATCGTTGCCCAGTCCTTACTCTTTACTGCCAGTTCCTGCTCAGCCTTTATAGTTTTCCCACTGGAATGACTATCTCAGTCTGTTTCGTACTGTGTCTTTTGTGTGGTTTTGACTACATGCTAGTCAAGGCTAGTCCAGTTTCACATAAGCAAATAAAAGATCATAAATTATTCTTTAGGCCAGTTGTTAATTCTTCAGAGAACCCATTCAACCTTGCCTTTCACTTAAAAGTTTTTAATATTCCAAGAAGAAATAATTTAAATTAAATTTCATTAGCTTAACACTTTCTCTGGTTTTTTCTACTTCTTCTGACATTTCTATTTGGGTAATGTATAAAGTATAGAAGAGTTTTATTACATGGATTTTATTGACAGCATATTTGTCAAGGGGAAAATTAGTATAATTAAATAATTGTACTTGTTTCCTTGAATTTCCAAAAATAGAATCTAAATTTCTTTGTTGCTGAAGAAATGAAATGAAGCCACATGTGTGTGGCCCTCATATTATACAAGTTTGATTAGCTGTAATTTATGTGTTCCAACACAACAAAACTAGTATAAAAGGCATTATGTGCTCTATAAAACTGCTCTAAACCATAAAATCTCAGTACAAATTACATTTTGTCTAACTTCTAAATTTTTTTAAATTATTTATTTATTTTTACTTCTCGAGATTTTTGTTTTAAAATAAAACACATTTGAAACTATCAAGGTGATTGTGAGAAGACTGAAGCAAACAAAGTGTCCCATGTTTTGGTATTATAGTGATGATGTTAGTCATCTAAGAAAAAGTTAAATTATAAGTAATGTGTTTTAACAAGAAAGCAGGGAAGATACATAACGATTTATCATTCTTACAGTTAAAATAAGGTTAAAATTTTTAAAGTTGGTACTTCAAGGACTGACAGCTTCTTAACTATGGTATTAATAATTGTTACTTGATTTTTTGGTAGCTGAATTTTGTAGATTACCTTGTGGGGTTTTTTGTTTGTTTATTTTTTCCTCAGCTCAGTATTTTGACTAGTAGTAAAGACTTCACAATCTATGTATCTGTTTCCTTCCTGTTGAGGACCTGCATCTGTGCCCTCAGTTTAGGATCCACTAGCCACGTGTCATTATTAAGCACTTGAATGTGGCTGATCCAAGTTGTAGTATGGGCTGTAAGTGTAAAATAAAATACCCTGGATCTGAAATGTTAATACTTATCTAATCTGAAATGTTAATACTTAAAAAGTTAAAACATGTCCATTTTTATGTTGATTATAGGTTTTAATTATATTGTAGATACACTGGGTTGAATAAAACATGTCATCAAAATTAGTATTATCTCTTTATATTTATTTTTTTAAATGTGGCTATTAGAAAATTTAAAATTATACATATGACTTGCATTTATATGTTTGTTGAATAGCACTGGTCTAGATAGATAAAATAAGATGTGTTTCTACATTTTTTAAAAAGATTCTATTAATTTTAGAAAGAGAGAGGGGGCACACAGGCAGGGTGAGGAGCAGAGGGAGAGGGAGAATTTCCAACGCAGAGCCTGACTGAGGGCTCAGTCCTACAACCCTGAGATCATGACTTGAGCCAAAAACTAGAGTTGGATGCTTAACTGACTGAGCTACCCAGGCACCCCAATCTGTTTCTACATTTTAAGAAACTAAGAGACTACAGCTACAACCTGTAGCCACAAATACAAATGGCAGCAGTCAGTATCTGAAATGCTTGATGAGGTCTGGATCTAAAACAAGACATTTTTACTGCACCCAAGCCTAAAACCTATCTGGTTGGTTACTTGGCCTTTTAAGACACTGAACATAAAACAGTCAAACAAAAGGTACCTGTCATCTGCCATTGAGAACCCGCTGCCTTACAGAGAAAGAATGGAAGGAGCGGGTATTTATGGAGGGCCTTTAAGTGCCTTTCTGACTGGAATCAGAGCGTTAGGTCAGTCCTAAAGGGTCATGGTATTTGTTTCCTTATTCACCAGTGGGATAGGGACTCGTATTTACATGGTACAGAAGCGTGATTTTATATTTTGCTGACTTCTTTGCCAAAGCTGTCAACAAGCTCTCCTTAGAGACATAATTACAGCCCACTGCCTCCCAATTAGAGTAAAGGAACAAAAGATAAAGGGAAAGTGAAAGGTTTGAAAGCCTTAGGGGTCTTAATCTTTTATTTTTGCCATTTTTTGAAAGATTATATTTGGGATTTAAAAATATACACACACATGTTTGCGTATTCTGTGTTAGCATAGTGTTTTTTGGGTTTTTTGTTTTTGTTTTTGTGGGTTTTTTTTGCTTTTAAAAAAAATGTCCATTTTATTATAGATGGAGTCTGCACGCAAGGCATGGGAGAATTCTCCAAATGTGAGGGAGAAGGGATCTCCAGTAACTTCCACAGCACCTCCAATTGCAAGTGGAGTCAGCAGTAGTGCCGGTGGACCAAGCACTGCCAATTACAGTTCATTCTCAAGTGCATCCATGCCTCAGATTCCTGTTGCTTCAGTCACTCCCACAACATCACTATCAGGTAGAAGATTTTTATACCTTTCCTTTAAATGTCTTAATTATTTAAAATTTCTTATGATCTTTTCCTGTTTACTATCCCCCCAGATTTATTATTTATAAAATATGTAAGACTGCACAAGATCTGATTATCAGCTATTTTGTAAACTCTTCTTGCCATTCTTACCCTCCCCTCTCTTAGCCCCTCTTCCAATTTTAGTTTGACAGTTATTGATGGCTTACTAAAACACTTTGCTTGCTGGACCTTCTGCCCACCCCCATGCCCTCCGTGTCATGCCCCCCTGCCCCCATTATAGGCATTAATAAGTAATTGGTGAAAAGTTTATCTTGTTCTCCTACATTTTTCTATAAAATTCATCTTTTGATTTTTATTTTTTAACTCATATACAGCTAATTAGTCCAACTCAGAAATAATACAGAATCACACAGGTGGTAAATTTTTGTGGTCTGTATCTAATTTGAAGGAGCTGTTGGCCTAAATCTTTTCGGATGACATATATTTTCTGGTGAAGAGGTAGGGGTAGAGAATTTCCAGTTTGTTATTTGAATAGGTGGTATATATTGGGTTTTTTGGCCCGGGGGGAGGGGGGGTTGTTTTGCTTGTTTTTAAGGAGAGTCCATCAACACCCCAAGTTAGAAAGTGCTTTTCTTCCTTTAATTTTTCACTAGCACGTAATCCTTTCCTTAAACTATATTTCATTTGGGGGCTTTACAGTTGAATGTAAATGCTGAAATGCTTGACTCTAGGAAAGTATACCCTTTTACCATATGTATAACCATGTTTCTTCTACTGAAAACAGAAATTTCCTTTCAGGCTTTCCTGGTAATGTTTCCAAAGCAGCAAAAGCTGCTTTCCAAAAGATAAAAGATATATCCAGCACAGAATTTACTTTCTTTGACTGGTTCTCATTTAGTGATTGTTCTACTGGTTTTTTGGGGGGTCTTTTTGTTTTGTTTTGTTTTTATTCATTATTCTGGCATTCTGTACCAAAAGAATTGGTCTTTGGGATGTACTACAGTTATTTTGATGTTATGTGGAATCAAAAGTATGTATTAAGACAAACAGATTCAAATCAAAGAGCATGTTCTATTTCTCTTCCCTCCTTAAGACCATTTAATGCATTCCCTACTATCCATTTGTAAGACATCTTCATTATGCTTACTAGCTGGGGCCCCAGTCATTTGGGTGGGTAGGGGTTGGGGCTATAAAGCAACCAGGAATACAGTATGGTGAAGAGATTAGGAAATAAAGGGACTGGGAAGGTTCCCTTTCCGTCACAGTTGACCCTTAAACAACACAGGGGTTAGAGGCACTGACACTTGCCGACCAACACATGCAGTCAGAAACCCAAAAATCACTCCCCCAAATTAACTACTAAGAGCCTACTATTGACTATAAGCCTTACTGATAACATAAATAGCCGATTAACACATATTTTGTATGTTACAGGTATTGTATCGTACAACTGTATTCTTATAATAAAATATGCTAGAGAAAGGAGAATGTTATTAAAATCAGAAGATACATTTACAGTACTGTACTGTATTTAATCGAAAAAAGTCTGCGTATAAGTGGACCCACATACGGTTTAAACCTGCATTGTTCCAGGGTCAAGTATACTTCTTTCTTCCAGGTCTGGTTTCCCCACACTCTCCTCAATTAGGATAAATTTTTATATTTCTTGCCCAGTCATCCTACTGGTAGAGACTCAAGTGGAAGAACAAAGGTACCTTGATCTTGGGTCCTCTCTTAGATCAAACATCATTTGAAGTCTGAAAATAATGATGTGACTGCATCTCACTTTTTAATCAGATAGCAATATTGTCATTCACTCCAGTATTAGAGTCATCAACACTCACTGATCAACAGAACTAATTGACCTTTCAAGATCTTAAGTTTTATAATTCTACTTATTTATTAATAGTTTGTTTTCTTTTTAAGGTATTATTATATACCTGTTTTTTGCTGGTATATATACAGGCAGAGTGAGGACTAAGTATAACCTTAAGTTTATATGGCTGTTAAGGAGCATTTGTGATCTCTAAAGGCCCCTTTCACCTTAATGATTATTAAGGTGTAGCACTTACGTGTTCTTATGTTTATGCCTGACCTTAGTAAATGTTTAAATATTTATTCATAAATGAGGGGCGCCTGGGTGGCTTAGCCATTGAGCATCTGCCTTTGGCTCGGGTCATGATCCCAGAGTACTGGGATCGAGCCCCGCATCAGGCTCCCTGCTCAGTGGGAAGCCTGCTCCTCCCTCCCCCACTCCTCCTGCTTGTGTTCCCTCTCTCGCTGTCTCTCTCTCTCTCTCTCTGTCAAATAAATAAATAAAATCTTTAAATAAATAAATATGTATTCATTTATTCATAAATGAATGAAGGTCTTAAGATTACCCTTAAGGTATTTGCCTGTAAGGTATTCTGCTGGAAAGAAGAAAGATCTGACCTTTTGTTTACATGAATTTTTAGGAGCAGTTGTGGTCTTTCCAGGTGCATTTACTTTTTTTTTTTATTTTATTAATATCTACACCTAATGTGGGGCTTGAACTTGTGACCCTGAGATCAAGAATTGGTGCTGTTCCAACTGAGCCAGCCAGGCACCCCTACATTCTTAATTATTCCTAAGGGGCAGCATTTTGTCCTGTGTAAATGAATGAAGCTCTTGACCATCCTTTTCTTTGTGATGATTAAAAAACTATTAGCTTGAGGCTAAACTAAGCCTCAAGAGCCTATAGCCAATCCTATAGGCTCTTGGCCACCTTATTTTGTTTAATCTTTTAACTTCCTTCTCTTTGCATTTTTCTATTGTACTATATTTTTCCAGATATTATAGTCTTGTTTACATTTGGTAATTGTTACTTAAGCACATGCAGGGCATAAACATGAATTTTCCAGTGTCCAGCGGGTGCTTGAGTTGTTTTTACAGTGAACCACTATGGCACTTTACGATACGCTGCCTTTTCCCCTCTCCCACATATAGGAGCTGGTACATACACTACCTCTTCTTTGAGTACAAAATCTACAAGCACATCAGATCCTCCTAACATTTGTAAAGTGAAGCCCCAGCAGTTACAGACGAGCAGCCTGCCGTCGGCGGGTCATTTCTCACAGTTGAGCTGCGTGCCTTCCCTTATTGCCCAGCAGCAGCAGCAGAGCCCGCAGGTCTACGTGTCCCAGTCGGCAGCAGGTAAGAGCTGGGGGCGGGGGGGCGGCAGGCACGTAAGGGAGTCAGAAGAATTGTTTGCGGGCATACTTTTGTTCACTCAAGTTTAACTATTTTTTGATCTGCTTTGCAGATTTGTTTCATCATAGAATTTAATGTCTTTGATAAGTATTCTGGGGAGGCTCTTGGCAGTTCTTTCTTACACGTATGTTACATATATATTAGATTCGTGTCTAATAATTTGCAAAATAACTTGCACATTTCATGTTATTCTAGTCAAGTTATAAAACTTTATTACCCGAAACTTGACAAATCAATAATAAAATTCATAGGGAAGAATAAACCTAAGATTAGCAAAGAAGAAAAAAACTGTATGTTGGATACTGGGGTAACTTACCCTACTAAATACCACAATGTTAATCTTAGTTAAAAAGTAAGTAAATATTTGAAAAATATTCAAATTCACTAATGATTTAAATTCAAAATAAAAGAACAATGAGGCTATTTCTTGCCTTTCTTTGTGGGAAATATTAGAAAGATTGATAATACCCAGTTTCTATAAGGGTCAAAGGTCTTATTAATAGTGTCTTAAAATGCATTGCTGGTTAGTATATAAATTGACATAATTTTAGAAAAGTATCGGAATATTTTATATGTACATACTTAACTGTAGTAACAATTTTCATAGGAATCTCATATAGATAAATTTACCTATTAATCAGAGACATATATAGGAGAGTGTTCATTCATTGCAGTATTGTTTATAATGTGACAGATTAAAAATAATACGGGAAGTTCTCCAAAACATACTATTATGTAAAAAGAGCAGATCACAAAATAATTTATATAATACATAGAAATCTGTTAAGAATATAAACCAAATTCTTTCAGTTATTAAATACCAGTTCCTTTGAAATATTTTATTAAATTCTAGTAACTAGATATAAAATTAGAATAGATTTGCTGGTAAACCGGTAGGTTCATTTTCACTTTGAGTAGATCATGTCCGATTTCACTAGTTAATACCCCATTGGCAGTGTATGAGTGTCTGTTTTTCCATACCCTCACAAGTACAATTGACCCTTGAACAATGCAAGGGTTAGGGGTGCCGACACCCTACACAGTCAGAAATCCACATAAAACTTTTCAGTCCTCCAGATTTAACTACAAATATCCTACCTTTGACCAGAAGCCTTACTGATAACATAAACAGTTCATTAACACATATTTTGTATGTTATATGTATTATACCTTGCATTCTTACAATAAAGTAAGCTAGAGAAAAGAAATGTTGCTAAGAAAATCATAAGAAGGAGAAAATTACAATACTGCACTGAATTATTTGAAAAGAAAAATACGCAGTTCAAACCCATGTTCAGGGGTTAACTGTACTAGAATTTTGTTTTAATTTGTATATACCTGTCTGCTAGAAGTTTTCTGTCTTTTCATTCTAGTTTTTCCTTGGCTGTATTAGGTTTCAGTGGGCTCACTCAATTTGAAATCTGCTACAAAACTTGGTTTTTAGTTACTATTTGGAAAATTCTGAAGCTTTGACACTTAAAACTGCTTGTTTCTCCTGATGGTCTATATAGCTCAAATCCCTGCTTTCTATATGGACACAAGTCATTTATTCAATACCCAACATGCACGCTTGGCTCCACCATCCTTGGCTCAACAACAAGGCTTCCAACCAGGTCTCTCTCAGGTAAACCACAGACTTCTTCCATCATGTATTTGTTTCTTGGCATGCTAATGGTGTAATAGATATCTTAGGCTACAAATAAAGGCTCTTAGAAGTTAAAATCTTCTATCGACAACATGGGACAGTCCATGATTACCTTGATATGTATTGGCTAAATTTTCAAACTTCCCCAAATTTTCCAAAGCTTAATGGCTAACACTGTAGAGTAAATAATTAATTGAAAGGAAAATTTAGATGCTTACATTTGGTTTTGTTTTAAAAGGAAGCTGATATAGATCTATATAGATATATATCTATATATATATGTATTCTTTTCATATCTCAGATTTTTATTTTCCCAAATACTGTGATTTGTGTGTGTGGTGTTCATGTGTTTTTTATTGCATTGCAGCCAACTTCAGTTCAGCAGATCCCGATCCCCATTTATGCGCCGCTACAAGGACAGCACCAAGCCCAGCTGAGTCTGGGTGCTGGGCCTGCTGCGTCCCAGGCTCAAGAGTTATTCACTTCTTCACTTCAGCCATATAGGTACGTGCTTTTGTAACTGCTGAGCCTTCTTGCCGTATCCCTACTGCTCCTTCTTTTCCCCCAGAAGCTAGGATGACCCTTTTATAAAATGCCTTTCAATAATTAAGCATGTTGATTGTAGGTCCTGAAACTTAGCTTCTGGTAGTTGCAGTCAAGACTTTATTGAACAAAGTGAGACCTTAAATATTCTTCTTCTTCTTTTTTTTTTTTTTTTTAAAGATTTTATTTATTTATTTGACAGAGAGAGACACAGCGAGAGAGGGAACACAAGCAGGGGGAGTGGGAGAGGGAGAAGCAGGTTTCCTGCCGAGCAGGGAGCCCAATACGGGGCTCGATCCCAGGACCCCAGGATCATGACCTGAGCCGAAGGCAGACGCTTAACGCCTGAGCCACCCAGGCACCCCAAGACCTTAAATATTCTTGAAGACGAGGAGAACAACAGTCCCAGAACAATTGGAAATCAGAGGAAATAGTTGCTAAGGGACCTAAAAGGCTGCATGCCACCTTGCCACAGCAGCTGTAAATCCGCCCCTGACTTGGGATGTGCGTGGGGGCTTGGCAGAGAATAGCATATAGGAGGCAGGAGCCCGGGTGGAGAGTGCCAGGCAGGGAACAAAGGCAGTGGGGATAGTGATGACAAGTAGAGAAGAAACTGTTGTTTTTGAAAGAGTCACTGTAAGTTAGCTTTGTGATTAAGGAAATCTCCTTTTAATTGGTATTAGCTACTTGCAACATTGTTGGAAAGTTTGGGGCTACTTTCCAGCTGTGCAAAAAAGAGCTCGGTGATTAATTAGTAATATCTTCAATAGCCATGGGAGATGGAGTAGCAGCGCACTGACATTTTGTATTTGTAATCCCCATTTTAATGATTGCCTTGGAAGATATACTTCTTAAGACCGGGCCTGTTCCATAGAAAAATAATGTAAGCTGTATATGTAGTTGTGACTAATGACAAGTGTATTGGAAGGCACAGGTTTAGACTTTGAAAGCAATTGTTTGTATCCCTGCCACATCATTCTGCTATTCTTTCTTGCAGCCTCATCAGCATAGTGTTTATTAATACAGAATCCCTGAATTTAACTTCTGCCAGGACAGGGTAGTTGTGGGGTTTGTCTTCTCTTTTCTTTCTTTCTTTCTTTCTTTTTTTTTTTAACATTATTTTAAAGAGAGAGCACACTGGGGGAGGGGTAGAGGAGAAAGCGTCCACACTGAGCACAAAGCCTGATTGATGCAAGGCTTTGTTATCTCAGAACACCAAGATCACAACTTGAGCTGAATCCAAGAGTTGGACGCTTAATCGACTGCACCACCCAGGCACCCCAGGACTCGGTAGTTTATAACAATATGCTTCCCAATTTATATTTGACACGTAGGCATAAAGACTGCTTGTGACCCTATTCTAGCACTCCTGCTTAATGGCTTTTGTTTCTGCCACAAAAGTCAATTTTAACAAAGCATAATGATGTTATTTATTGATAATATTATCTTTAATCCAGTACTTTGATATAGTTAGTTTTTATCTTAGCATTTTTAAAAGTATAGCTTGAAGGCCCCCATTCCAGAGGTAGGAGCGTAGTCTGAAGTTAGATTCCAGCATTGTAGTTTTTTTTAAAACCATCTAAATATGCCACAGTAGTATTAACTATAGTCAGCCATGCTGTACATTACATCCCCATGACTTACCTTACAACTAGCAATTTATATCCTTTGACCATAATACTGTGTTGTGATTTGAAAGTTGCTGGGGGACACCTGGGTGGTTCAGTCAGTTAAGCATCCGACTCTTAACCTCCGCTCTGGTCATGGTCACAGGGTGGTGAGATCAAGCCCTGCGTTTGGGCTCCATGCTGGCTGTGGAGCCTGCTTGGGATTCTCTCTCTCCCTCTCTTAAAAACAAAAACGGGAAATTTGCTGAGAAAGTAGATCTTGAAAAAAGTTCTCCTCACCAAAAACAAGTTTTTTTGTAACTGTGTATGGTGACAGATGTTAACTAGACTTACTGTGATGATCATTTCGTAATACATACAAATATTGAGTCATTAGGTTGTGAACCTGAAACTAATACAGTGTTAAATCTCCATTATACCTCAGTAAGAACAAACAGAAACTTTGTGGTTTCTGATGGTGAACTGATGGTGAACTACTACTCCGCTTCGTTCTGTAGAGGTCTTGAGATTTCTTATAAGAAACATATGGGGCGCCTGGGTGGCTCAGTTGGTTAAGAGTCTGACCCTTGGTTTCGGCTCAGGTCATGATCTCAGGGTGGTGAGATGGAGCCCTGCATTAGACTCCGCCCTCAGCAGAGTCTGCTTGCGATTCTTTCCCTCTCCCTTTCCCCTTCTCCCCACTCACTTGAGCTCTTTCTCTCTCTCTCAAATAAAATCTTTTTTAAAAACACACACACATACACGTGTATATATAAGTGGAGTAATGAAATACAAATAATAAAAGTCAGCTATTGGTGCTGTAAATTTGAATAAAATGTTAATACCAAAGAGAAAAACAGATTTGGTTCTGAGCTTGCTAGTGAACACATGAAAAAGAGAATTATTCTCGTTGTTCAAGAGGAGAAAATCTTGTTAGTTTCTCGGGAAGAGCAAGCCTTTCCCTAGAACTTTGTTGTGTATGGGGCTCTAAATCATGAAACAAGTACCTTAGACACAGTCTGCATTCCCTCTTTTCTTAATTGTGCTTATTAGAGTACTTGGTCATTTGGGATACTCATTCCAGGGATTTCCAGATTCCAAAATAGAATCGACTACTAACACAAGTCTTTCCTTTTTAATGCCTGTGTAGATCTCAGCCAGCCTTTATGCAAAGCAGTCTGTCCCAGCCATCTGTGGTTCTTTCTGGTACCGCCATCCACAACTTTCCAGCTGTCCAACACCAGGAACTTGCAAAGGCACAGTCAGGTCTTGCCTTTCAACAAACTTCAAATACGCAGCCTATTCCTATATTGTATGAACATCAGCTGGGTCAGGCATCGGGACTAGGAGGTTCCCAACTAATTGATACACATCTCCTCCAGGTAAGACAGGAGCACAGGGGCTAGAGTCATGCACTATCATCGTCTTCCTGTGCAGCAGATTATTTAAGAAAACAGTTTTTAAAGAAAAAATGTTAAAAGATGTAGTGAAAAAACGAAGGTCTTTTTATCTAATACTAAAATTCTTAGAGATTGTTTTGAAGCCACACCCTTGATGTCTGAATTGGAAATTTTTCCATCTTAATGCTGTTTTCTTACACAATTTTTTCTAGGCTAGAGCAAATCTTACCCAGGCTTCAAATCTTTATTCTGGACAAGTACAACAGCCTGGTCAGACAAATTTTTATAACACTGCCCAGTCACCAAGTGCTCTCCAGCAGGTAAACTATGGCATGGTAAATTTCCTCAATTTTCTTCATTATTATTATTATTATTATTATTACATTTACTGCGTTTGTTGTTGTTTGGCAATTTAAATAGAACCAAGATGGGGAGATGGGACAGTGGTTTTCAGACTTTGCTCTGAGGTGTCCTAGGAATTCCATGGGGTCCACTGGTGGTGGAACCTGCTCAGTGCCACAGCACCTCTCTCCTCAGCCCCACTCCAGTCATTTCTGCTTTTTGGCTCTTTGTTTTAAATTGGTTTCCATGTAATCATTTATTTTAACAAAGGATTCCATGAATATAAAAGTTCGAAAACCATTGTCCAGGACATACAGTTACGTGTAAGCGTGAGAAGTGCTTTACCTATGCTAGCGGGGGAAGGAGGACTCTAAAGACCATCACACTGGTTAATATAATACTTAGAACAGTGTGGCAGAGTATGACAGAGTGTAAATGACAGACATGCACGATCTCCTAGCAGTGTCATAAATCTGCTGTCTAAAAGTTCGTGGAGGACTGAAGGAGAGAGGCAAACCATTAGTCATTTTCTTATAACTAATTTTGGTGGCTATTTTAGGGGTGAAAATTCATAAATGTATTTATTACCTTACTGACATTCAAATTAAATACCGTTTGTATGAAAACTGAAAGGTTATTTTTCTTCTCCTAAAACTCATTTTAGTCAGACCTGAAAACAGTATAGAAATGTCTGTTTGGGAAATTGCAACAACACTGTTTCTTAAATTGTATCCCATGACTTCATTGTATTATGTGTTTATTAGACACATACCATGGATTCAAAGATCTTCATAATGATATATAGTGTCTGCACTACTAATCTGTTTTATTGTTGCACCTTTAATAAAAGAATGGAGGTAGTTAAGCAAAAGATAACACGTGAAATATATTAATAGATCGAAGTATTCTGTTTAAACTGTTACTCAAAAGATTTTGAAGAGTTGTATAGATAGTTATAGGGACATACAGATGACAGGTATAAGTAAATTGCCGCAATTTCTTTTTGCTTATTTTCTAGGTTACAGTACCTTTACCAGCATCCCAGCTTTCATTACCTAATTTTGGATCTACAGGGCAGCCTTTAATTGCTTTGCCTCAGACTCTTCAGCCCCCATTACAGCATACCACTCCACAAGCCCAGGCCCAGAGCCTGAGTCGTCCTGCACAAGTAAGCCAGCCTTTCAGAGGATTAATCCCTGCTGGAACACAGCATAGCATGATTGCAACCACAGGAAAAGTAAGTGAAGAGAAATTTGACAGTTTCTTCGAGAATTTAAGGCTATATGTTGAGATGTGTACATCTGTGTATCTATAAAAAAAAAGGCATCAGTTTTTACCACCCTCTAGTAAATCTCAAACCCTGATATGCTTTTTTTTTAAGATTTTTTTTTTTTTATTTTTAAAGTAATTTTACATCCAGTGTGGCACTTGAACTTACAACCCCAAGATCAAGAGTTGCACACTCCACCTACTGAGCCAGCCAGGCACCCCAAGCCCCAGTGTACCTTTTTTTTTTTTTTTTTTTTTACTTTTTAAATCTACTGATGTGTTTGACTTCCTCTGGTTTTTACCTGATAACGAAGAATTCACAAATTTTGTGAAAGAATTAGGTTTACACTATCTCTTAAGACTTTTCACCCACAAATATGGCCTTGATAATTCCATGTTATTTGAAACTTAATTACAGGATTTTTGTACTAAGATTTTTTGCCTTGGGGCACCTGGGTGGCGTCTGCCTTCGGCTCAGGTCATGATCCCAGGGTCCTGGTATTGAGCCCCGCATCGGGCTCTCTGCTCAGCGGGAAGCCTGCTTCTCCCTCTCTCTCACTTGTGTTCCCTCTCTCGCTGTGTCTCTCTCCCTGTCAAATAAATAAATAAATAAATAAGATTCTTTGCCTCTTTAGCTTATGGAATTCCAGAAATGTTAAGTCTGTTCTGTTTTTTCTCAGATGTCTGAAATGGAACTGAAAGCCTTTGGAAGTGGCATTGATATAAAACCAGGCACACCTCCAATCAGCGGTAGAAGCACCACACCAACATCTAGTCCCTTCCGGTAAAATGGGCATTTGAATTTCCAAATAACTAAACACAATTTGTTTGTTAGATATTTACTATGTCACCAGGCCTGTGGTAAGCACAAGATATTCTGATAGTTTAATCTAAAATGTTAAGCTATTAAATTAAGAATGTGTATGTTTTACCATACTTTTAAGAACTTTTTTTTTTAAATACAGGGCAAATCTAGCTAGTAATCTTTCTCACCTCTGCCCCTCCAGTGTCTCTCCACTACCATAATGTTTGGTAACTCACCTTGGTAAATTTTCATCAGCTACCACATACGAAGAATCTTCCAAGAGCAATGTCTCTAAAAATCTAACAGCATTATTTATTTGGCACTACTGTACTGACCAGTGATGGCTTTTTTCCAAGGGCTACTTCCACAAGTCCGAACAGCCAGTCCAGCAAAATGAACAGCATTGTCTATCAGAAGCAGTTCCAGTCAGCCCCTGCCACTGTGAGAATGACACAACCATTTCCTACACAGTTTGCACCCCAGGTGGGCAGATACGAGTGAGAAATGAGTATTATTTACTTGGAAATGATTGCTAATCTGGCTAATTATCTGATTTCATAATCTTGCCATCTAACTAGTTTAGAAACATAGTTCTTAATGAGAAACAGTTTCTTATTTAACAGTACATTTATGACATTCATATATATTCTCCGCAACTTTTAGTGAGGTAAAGGTAGTGGCCGTGTAGTTCTAAAGCAGACAAGAGAAATACTCGAGATTCCCCACACAGCTCTGGTCATTTCAGTCCTGTTTCTTTTATCTTTTTTGAAAAGTGGACTTTTCAGAGAAGGGTCCCAGTGCTTAAAGTTTTCTAGGTTTAAAGTTTTTTTTGTTGTGTCGTCGTCGTCGTCGTCGTTGTTGGGTTTTTTTTGTTTTGTTTTTAAGAGAACTATGTGTAGTTGAGTTACAATTTCCAAAAGATGTTCTAATATGTGTGTAAAAATATTGGCTTCTCTTCCCTTCGCTGATCGAGTGGAAAGACTAACTAAAATTGATCATAACTCTCACAAATGAGAATTGGTTTCTGAGAAAACACTTGTTTGTTGAATTGATGTTATTTTTATTTATCTTCAGATTGTTTGGTATAAGTGTGTGCCTTTTCTGCAATTATATCTTTTTAAAAAGATTATCCTAATTAATAGCTTTTCTACCTCCCCTTCAGAATTTGTAGCTGTTAGAACCAACTACAGTGCCATAGCATGCTTTGCCTAATTTTTCTGTTAGATTCTCCAAGCATTGCCTGTTTGTTCTTGGTCCCTGTAATAGAATGGCACAAATCCCTACACTTCCTTTCACTTGGCAGAATGGGCACAGATTTACTCTGAGATAAGCCAACCTGGTCTAGTTGGCAAAATTTTTTTTTTAACAGTTCAATGTTGTATGTTTTGTTTTTTTCACTCAGATTCTCTCTCAGCCTAACCTGGTCCCTCCATTGGTAAGAGCCCCACATACTAACACCTTCCCAGCGCCTGTTCAGAGGCCGCCAATGGCACTGGCCAGTCAGATGCCTCCTCCGCTGACCACAGGCCTCATGAGCCATGCTCGTTTGCCACATGTAGCCAGGGGTCCTTGTGGATCACTATCTGGAGTCAGAGGTAATCAGGCCCAGGCTGCGTTGAAGGCTGAACAAGACATGAAGGTTAGTACAGTGTTAACAGCCAACAGAGCAAGAATCTGTCTCTGAACCATGTCTTAAGATGCCTCTGGACCCATAACCACAAACCCAGGCATTCATTGTCTTAGCTGATTTAACCAAGCTAACTACTTTTATTCATTCCTTTTTTTTAAATTATTATTTCTTTTTGGTTTCCCCTATTCCCCCCACTTTTTTCTTTTTTTTTTAATTTTTTAATTTTTTTTTTAAGTTTTTTTAGTTTTCATTTTTTTGCAACTGTAGTTAGCAAACAAGTTAACATTTTAAACTCTGGCAAAATGAATTGCTTATAAAATGAATATTTGAGGGAGATCTGAGTTTAGCTGCTACATTTTTTGGAAGAGCAAAAAAGTAATTTGGATTATTATAAGCTTCCCCATTTTCTTCCTTTTTTTTTTTTCCTTTGTTTTCTTTTTTATCCCTCCCCCCTCCTTAGACTTAAGATATAAATCATGGTTATGTGAAAATTTGGAGTGGGTAAGAAGAGATTTTACCTATCTTGATTTTCCTTCCTTCGTGAGTCCTGCAAGTACAGTTTTTTTCTCAAACTGTTTCCATACCTTTTTTTTTTTTTTTTTTTTTTTTTGCCTGCCACCTGAGTTGGCTGTATTCCACAACAGATCGTGCAGTTGTAGGTGAAGAACTGAAAAAAGCACTTTGGGATCCTTCATAATAAAAGGCACTGATAAATGTGAGGTTTGCTGATGCAGAAGAGTGCCTTTAGGAGTCTGTGTGGGGACAGTTTTTATAGCATAAAGCTTACCTGTCTGCCTGTACAGCCAGCTGAATCCATTGACTCTGTATTTACTTGAACTTGCCTTTAGATGTCTTAGTAATTTTGCCTATTTTGTCACTATGTATATGTGTATATACACACACACACACATATATATATATATATCGGGTCACACTAGAACAAAGAAAAACTTGCTGCCTTTAAACAAGGCAATGTCCATAGTAATGCTTTACTCTAGAAACAATGCTTACTGTCATCCTATTAGAAAATTCGGTTGACTAGGTAGTTTCTTTCTACATTGATATCCCTCATTTCTCATCTTGAGTAATCAAATTTAAAGACTACTCCGCAGTGAAACTCTTGTTAAGTGTGATCTTTTATTAAGGCTGTGTGCCTAGGATTTCCATCTGTTCATAACTATTAAAAAATGTGTAGGAATCTTTGGAAACCATTTGGCCATGGTTTCCAGTTGTTTTGTCTCCTTGGAACTTATTTTCCTACCTTCCCATGTTGGAAATGACATTAGAGTTTATAATGGGATTGGGGGGGGTAAAAATTCTTGAAATTGCTTTAGATCTTTATATAGTGAACATGAAGGGCTCCTTGTTGTATGCGAGAGGTACAGAAACTTAAGTTTTAATTGTGTACGTTACAGTGGTATAATTTACAGATTGACGTAAGTATATTCTTTGGGGCGCATAGTCAATAAAAGTAGGAAGTTATTTTACCAGCTCAGAATGTGGTAGGAGCTATCAGAACTTAGTGATCAAGTGAAGTTGTAGTTACTAATTTCTGATGCTCTTCCCCTGCAGAAGAGAGCTGTGGGAAGAGGACTCAGCCACAAGACATTTGGTCCTAGGTGTTGGTAATGCCACAATATAAGTGCTTCCTTTTCGTTTTATTGTAGACCACATATTGATGACTAGAAGTTTTAAGTGTTACATATATGTCTTCAAATTTGCAAGCAGCCTCCCTAAATAGAATTTGATATCAGTAAGTCTTGTTCCGGAAAAGTTACAGACCAACGGCAATTTCTGTCTTATTATTTTATAAGAGGGCAAACTTTGAAAACGTGGTGGGAGGTGGTCCTGTTGTTTTCAAATGTTTAAAAAAAAAATCACATGGAATATTTGCCAAGATAGGAAGAAATCTGTCCATTAAAAGCTGAAAGATCATTGAGGTACTTTTGGTTTGGGCCAAACATGTGGGGCAAACGGATTTGTGGTTGGTGAAGAGTAAACGGAGATGGACGGACAGACAGGCTTTGCTAATGCTGCAACGTTCTCAGTCGTTGTTTCTCATTTTTTAAGGCAAAGCAGAGAGCAGAGGTTCTTCAGTCCACGCAGCGGTTCTTCTCTGAACAACAACAGAGCAAACAGATAGGAGGCAAAGCCCCGAAAGTGGACAGTGATTCAAGTAAACCTCCTGAAACACTGACCGACCCTCCTGGTGTCTGTCAGGAAAAAGTAGAAGAAAAGCCACCCCCTGCACCCACCATAGCCACCAAACCTGTTAGAACTGGACCAATCAAACCTCAGGCGATCAAAACGGAAGAAACAAAATCTTAAAGGCTGTGGTTTATTGCAGGGGGTTGGGGGAGGGGAGAGGGGCACAAGGGAGAATGAGGTCGGATAATGCCGGCAGCCAAAGGGGTAAAGTGGTCTGTGACATTATCCTGTGCAGAGCTGGGAGGTGCGCAGGGGACACAGGAGCAATTTACACTGATACACAGCCGCTGCAGCAGTAAAATGAGGCTTTGCCAGCTTGCACCTACTGTATAATGCGCACTCTGTTGATGGCCGTGCATCTTCAGTCAGAATTTATATACAAATACGTGCACACGTTCCTTGAGTGCATATCATTTAGAGCTGAAATCCTTATGGTTAGATGAAACACCAGAAATATGAGGAAAATAACCCTGCCGAGGAATAGCTGAGCCCAAACAGTGGTGATTCCAGCTAATAGATCAGGTGTGGTTTCTTTGCTCCCTTATGTTCTTTGGATGTGATTGTAGCATTTGTGGGCTTGGTGGTCAAGAACTGAAGATAACTGGTGCTGGATAGAGGAGCCTTATTTTTTATTATGGCAGCTTGCTATTTTTGTAACATTGTGATTGAGTTGAACACAATCAAAGTACAGTCACTGATTCCCCCTTTTTCCTGGATGAGTGAGCAGGTGATGAAATATGCTGTCCACATCCTTGGACATGTCCAAATGGACAGGGTTTGACTACTACTTCTGTTTGAAATGATGCTGTGTTTTGGTTGTGGCCCGAAGCTTTGAAGTGCTACTTGGCATCTCCTTTCTTCCACGGAGTTGTCATGTCTTCAAACATGACAGATTGGGTAAAATACTAGTTAGGTTGAGTCTGGCTTGCCTCCACTCGTCATCTTTGTATGAATCCAATAGGCTTTTGTTTGTTTGTTTTTAACGGTTTTTAACTGACGTTCATCAAGAGCAGTGAATACCTAAAACTATGCCCTTAATGGAGGAAATCCTATCGAAGAAGGTGCATTTCTTTACCAGAGCTGTGTCATACCATCCTTTGGGCCCTCTGCTGGAAAAGTAGAATCAAGTCTCAAATAATGCCTTTTTAATTGTATCCTCTAGGATTATAGATGTAGGACAGTACTGTATCATACCTCTGTGAATGTAAAATATCTTGTACCTGCTTTATGATACGTAATAGTGACCGTGCTTTATCAGAGCTGTTTTTAATGACGTTATTCTAGAATGTTTTCTTTCCAGATGATGATTGAGAAGCTAATAAAAAAATGGTGCCAGGTGCCACAACAGTAACAGAACTTTGCTGTTTTCTGGGGTTTTGTTTTGTTTTTTACCTTTCCCCCCCCTTTTTTATTAATGGAGTGTGCTGGATGTCTCTATAATTTTGTTCAGATGACTGCAGAACCTGGAAAAGCTGTTGCTGCTATTGATGCATAACATACTGCTATTGGTCTTTTTATATAAATAAATAAATATATATATATATATATATACATACATATACATATATATATAAATAATTTGAATTTTTGGAAACTTTAGCTGTGCTGTCAACTTTGGAAAAAGTATCCCAGTTGTACCGTGTTGGGTTGGCATTGTACAGAAATTAACAGCCATATTGGTCTAGAAATGTTAAACATAATTTTTTCCATTTGTACAGGGGTAACGCACTGTATTAAATATGTAAGGTCTTATCTACATGGGTTTGATTACAGAAACTAATAAAGTATTCTCTAAATAATGAATCTTGGAACTTCTAATCCATTCCTAAAATCTGAAGCAAGAAGGTCTGTCATGTACCAAAAATAGTGTTCAAGAGTACATTATGCTCTAAGGAAAAGATTATCACCCAAAGACTTGATTCTGACTTTTAAGAACTATAAAGTTTATTCAGTCAAAGTAAATGTTGTCATGGAGGATAATAGGGCCTCTGTTCTCAGGGTAGCCATACTCCTCTTGAGAGCTAGTCTGTCGAGGAGGAGAGAAGTCTTTCTGGATGATGCCAAGTGCTGAAAGTAGAAAATAGTTTCATCGTTCTTCAGGGCAGAAATTGAAGAGCCCAAAAGAGATCTCAGTACTTAAATTTTGTATTTTTTGTATTTTTCCTAGCACATTCATAGATTATCACTTACATAAGCAGCCTATGATTTGCTTTATTATTTACTCATTTTGTAAAGTAAAGTGCTGAGGGATTTTAATTGCCTAAAATCCCATATCCAGAACCCAAGGCTTCCAGACCCAGCTTTAGGAAAACTAGTAATTCAGTCACTGATGACTTGTGTACCTTCTTTACTCACGGATGCTGGGATTCTTAAACATTTAGAGCACTCGGGTACTGTTAAGCCATACCTAGATGGCCAGGCTTTTCAGTTTTAAGGTTTTTTCTCAAAATAGGCTCTACATTGGTGTGGTGGATAAGGCTAGGATCACAGACCAGTACCAAAAGAGCTGTAGTCACCACTTCACATATTTGCCTTCTTGCTAAGTCACTTCTGTTGCCTCTGTTTTTCATATTCTAATCCTTAAGTTCAGTCCTCCTAAATGTTAGGACTTTAGGGCAACCAATATATAGTTTGCACTCTGCATTTGCAAGCAACCACGTATGTGCTGTTCAGTGGGTTGTGTTAACTTGAAACCATGAACACCTTAGGCCCTTTGCTAGGTAGGATCATACAGTGGGTCTCCCACCACCACCACCCCTTAAAAAAAAAAAGAAAAGCATCCAATGAAAGTAAGGTATTTATGTCAATGCTTCTCCACAGTTTGGTCCTACAGTTCTTACCTCTGGCGTTTCTGGCATGCAACTAGATAACCCAAAAGATGTTGCAGTTATTCGGTGGCAATAGCTCTAGTCAACTAACCCTTTGAATGTTTCTCTGCCCCTTGAACTGTTCTGGTAAGAGAGAAGACGATGCTTTTGTCTTTAGTTAATAAATTGTGCTTTATGATGGAAGAATAATTGGGGGAAGCAGGCTGGGAAATGATAATTTGAAAAGGCATTTAATTTGCTTATTTTCACAATACAAATTACAGAAAGTAAAGTTCCAACATACTCTTTCTTGGCTGGAGGCAAGATGTAGAAGATAGAATCAGAATATGCCCTAGCAGAAAAAACCTGAGAGGCCCATCAGGTTTCCGTTGCACCTGCCCACAGGTGCCCAACGGATCTCACAGCTCGTTGGCATCTTCAGTATTTCCACGTGCCCTTTCCAATCTCTTTTCTACCTGTTTGTGGAAAACATCTCAATTTGATTGTATTTTTAGGTGATTAAGAAATTTCAGCCATAAGATACCTGTGTATGAAATGAGCTAGAAAAGAACTGGACAATGATGTCTTAATGTCACACTGGCCATCTTGGCATTTGTATGTTGCTGAAAGGAATCATTTGCTCGGCCCTTTTCCTCCTCCTGTGTGCTGTCTTCATTCACACCCTCAGGTGTAGGCCTGAGCCTGCTGTTGGTGCTCAAAGTAGTGCTCTATATGGTTTTCCTGAAATAATCCAGAAGACAGTGGCAACATATTTCAGGCCAAGAGTGCTATTGATTTTCAGCCTTTCTTGGGGTACGATGGGTTGGCAGGTCATGTTCACCCTACCACAGAAATGGAAGCTTCTGTGACCTGGTGTCACTTGGATTCTTAAGTAGAAGCCCTCAGATCTGGGGCGCCTGGCTGGCTCAGTTGATAGAGCATATGACTCTTGATCTCAAGAGTTGTGAGTTCAAGCCCCACACTGGGTGTAGAAATTACTTAAAAATAAAACCCTAAAAAATAAAAGAATCCCTCATCTTTCTGGACTGGGAAATCGAAAATTATGAATGCCTTAATTCCTTGATTTTAGGTGTATGTTGATTTTCCATTCAATCTTTTGATGACGTCTATGCCATTTTCCTTGAGATGCCTGCTAGAGTCTTCTTCGTAGGGTAAATACAGAATTCCTTTGAATTTTTACAGATACTTTTCCTCAGTTTTCCAGTTTTCCCCCCATACCTAATTTGACAATTTTTTAGAGTGAAATTGGTAGAAATCAATTAATACAGACTTAACAGCCTACTAGCTGTGGGCATCAGTCTGTATGAAATCTAGCAAGTGGTTAAAGCTTAAGACTTGCTAACATACTCCATATTCCAATGTAAGAATTATTTTTAAAAACACATTTCCCTCAACAGAGGAATAAGATACCATAGAAGAAAATTTTACCTGAACTGGAGAGTTTGAGCAAGAGGTGAGAGTCTGGTAACATTAGGCAAGGGGTCAAGCATCAGTTACGCATCAGTTGCCAGGAATACAGAAGTCCGTTTCTTAGCTCAACATAGTCTGGTGGAGGAGGCAGAGATGCAGGCAGTGGCCTGAGGTCGGTCAGACTTCATCACTAATAACGACCTGTTTTCTGGATGCCTTGAGCCATCTTCTTCCCTTTCCCCTCCATCTGTCTACATTGCTGACATTTCTAAATATGATTAAGGTCTTTTTTTTTTTTAAGATTTTATTTATTTGACAGAGACACAGTGAGAGAGGGAACACAAGCAGGGAGAGTGGGAGAGGGAGAAGCAGGCTTCCCACCGAACAGGGAGCCCGATGTGGGGCTCGATCCCGGGACCCTGGGATCATGACCTGAGCCGAAGGCAGATGCTTAACGACTGAGCCACCCAGGTGCCCCTGATTAAGATCTTCTAAAGGCCTTTAGACAGTGCTTATCTGGCTTGTTTCTAACCATCTCTTGACACACCAGCTGATAAGTAGTAGGATTGTAAAGTTTCATCATCTTGATTTCTGAGCAAAAAAAAAAAAAAGTCAACGGTTTCCTCATCTGAAATGTAAAGGGAGCCCCCAAATGCATTAGTGTTCAGTGGAGAATTAGAGCAGGGAAGTTTCATTAAGCAGGCCTGTGCTTCCAGATGAGTCAGTCTCAGGTCCAGGGATCGTGTAGAGCAGAAAGGAGGGATAGATGGATTCTGGCCCTCCGGATTTAGATTTGCCAAGAGGGAAAGTGTTCGATGTCCGTTAACTTCATGCCGTTCGGTATGGAAGGATACCTGGGGTACTGACTTAGGGCCATGGTTTTCAAGCTGGAAGTATACACACTTCAACTGAGGCAGTTTTCAGTATTTGTTTGACTAAGGGATTCACTGGCTTGTACAAAATATAAGTATTAACATAAAGAAGGTTTATCAGTGCCAAGGGGGAGCTGCCGTCAAACTGTTCAGTATGAGAAGCTGAAAAGAGTGTCACACCAAGAGTAAAGGTATGCTCCCCACAGAAGCTGCTAGTGCTACCCACGGTGGGGGGCGGGTTGATTGGGTATCGGATTTCTATAATCTGGGATAGAAAAGGATGTTACAAATTTTCCTCTTAAATAGCTAAGTTACCAGACTTTATATCCAGCTTAAAGCCTCACAGGGAAAAATGGAGTAACTCATGAACTTTACCCACCTTGTCGCTCACCACCCCACCCCCCCAGCAGCCCAGAATCAGGGCCGTTCAGGTACTTGAATTTTTTAACCTTGGTCCCAAAGGTACTTTGGGATGTAATCAGGAAGCACAGAGTGCCAGGTAGGCCTCCCACGTGAGGCAGCCCCATTCTTACCCATGGGGAAAGTACATGGTACTTTTTATTCCAGAAGCATTGGTGCAGCACCTGACAGGTGGTAGGCATCATCCTCACTAGGTCCCCAAAAAGCATGATTCCACCATCCTGAGGAACTCTCAGTTTAGTCAGAGAGCCAGAGAGAGTGAAAAAGTTGGGAGTGGTACTTCCTTCCCTGGTGGTTTAGGTGTCGATGGGACAGCCTGGCCATTAGCACCAGACCATGCCCCTGCTCCTTGGGTTCCCATCCATTCCTCGAATACAAAGGCTTTTCGCAAGTATGCTTTGACCAGAAGTCACAGGAAAAAAGCAGTGGTAACGGTAATATCTCTGGTCCCACATGTCCAAAACTAGCTTCTTAGTCCTGCCACGTCTGCATAAAAATAGCAAACTGAATTCAGAAGGTGCCAGTGTGCCCAGCACTGTTCGAATTGACATGGAGCAGCTGACTCCTCCCAACATCTTTATAGGTGGTATTTTCAGTCTCACTTGGGCATTAGAAGAATGAGGTTGAGGGGCACCTGGGTGGCTCAGTCAGTTAAGAGTCCGCCTTCGGCTCGGGTCATGATCCTGGGGTCCCGGGATCGAGACCCACATCAGGCCCCTGGCTCATCGGGGAGTCTGCTTCTTCCTCTGATCCTCCCCTCGCTTGCTTTCTCTCTCACTCGAATAAAAATCTTTTTTTTTAAAGATTTTATTTATTTGAGAGAGAGAGAGTGAGAGACAGCACGAGAGGGAAGAGGGTCAGAGGGAGAAGCAGACCCCGCTGAGCAGGGAGCCCGATGCGGGACTCGATCCCGGGACTCCAGGATCATGACCTGAGCCGAAGGCAGTCGCTTAACCAACTGAGCCACCCAGGCGCTCTTGAATAAAAATCTTAAGAAGAAGAATAAGGCATAGATAACTTGCACAGCGACACACAGGAAAGGAGCCAGGGTCTGGTCCAGGCAATCTAATGGTCAAAGTTTGAGGCAGAGCTGTGGGCAGCACTGGACTCGAACTTACTAATAAAAGTCACAACTCTCTGTCTCGGTTTGCCCAGCTCTAAAATGGAAATGATTCTGTCTTCCTCATAGGAAGTGAAGTAAGTGAAATAAGATATGTTTAAATAGAATGCCGGGTGTTCGATAGGTTGCAAAAAAAAAAAAAAAAAACTTTAT